ACACACACACACACACGTACGAGACCACTGCTGTGCGCGCTGCGCTCACGGCTACCCCCCCCCCCCTCTCCCCTTCCTCCCCTGTTCCACCCGCCTTAGGCAAAATCGCGCAGCTCCAGCGCCCTCTCTTTGATCGCCTTGTCACGGGGGGGTCGACGCCGCTTTCCTCGCCTCGCCTCGTCCGCGGCCGCCGCTGCGGTGGTGGTGGCCCGCCTCCTCCGCCTCGTACGCCGACGACACGAACGACGACGCGTTGCTGTCGGTGCTGGCGGCGGCGGACGGTCGGGAGGAGGAGCTGCGACTGCCGTGGATTTCGTTGTACATACGCAGTGCCTCTGCATCGCCGCAGGACGGGCCGATGGAGCCGAGGTTGCACACGTGGCCGCCGCGTGGGGCCTGCGGCCGTGAGGAGTCGGCCAGGTTTGCATACGACCCGGTGTGTCCGTTGGGGTGGTTTGCATCCGCACCGCCCTGCGCCTCCTCTGCATTTAGCTCCCCCTCCCCTTCCTCGTCCTCGTCCTCGTCGTCGTTCGAGGACATGATGGAGGGCAGCAGATGCGAGTGTTGCACAGAGGGTACGAGGCCGCTGGAGACGTGCGCCATCGTCGGTGGCCGGTCGAGGTCCACCTCACCCACCACCACCACCGCCTCTGCCGGCGCCATGTCGTCTGGCTGCACGTACGGGGACACGGCAGCGTCGGCGTCGATGTCCGCGTGCGAGGAGCGAGAGGGGCTGGAGCGCGTTGGCGTGAAGGAGCGACAGAGCGTCGCCGCGCGCTCTGCCGCTTCACGCGTGCCGTCGTGCAGCGCCACCGTCAGCAGCGCGAGGCGTCGTTCGTCCTCGTCGCTGTCGTTGCCGACCGCCGTGACGTTGGTCGTGGTGGGGAGAACGCGGTGCAGCGGTGGGGGCTTCTCGGGACTGTGCCCGCGCCGTGGGGACCGTTGCTCTGCCTGACAATCGGCCTCGTCGTCGTTGTCGTGCGATATCTGGTAGTTTCCGCCGCTACGTTCAGCCGCTGATGTCTGCGTCGTGCGCACTGGCGTCGTGACGAAAGCTGCTTGTTGGAGGTTGGAGGTGGTGGTGGTCGGTGTTGCCCTCGCTTGTGAAGATACGGTGGGTTCGGGTTCTGCCGGAGACGCACAGGCTGCGTCGCTGAGGGGCCTCGACGTCGTGCGACCTCTTCCGTTCCCCGCCACAGCAGCCGCATTCAGAAACGCGGCGCCGGCAGCGTGCGGATCGGCGTGGTGCTCCGTCGAGGACGAGGAGGTGGGGTGCGCCGCCAGTGCGGCGGCGGCGGTGTTGATCGCCATCGTGCGCGGCGGCACACACAGAGAGCGCAGGACGGCTGCCCACGCGTGCGTTAGCGCGGCGGTCGTTGTGCACGGCATGGGTGAGACGGGCACGACGAAGTAGGAGGACTCTGCATTCGGCGACGCTTCATTCTCTCTCGGCGCGTCGATGGAGAGGAGCGTTGTGGGGAGCATGATACGGAGCGCGCTGTCGCCGCTGTTTGTTGGGGATACAACGACATCGATGCTGCATCCTCGCACGAGGGGGATGTCCAGCGAGGGCGAAGAACAAGAGCCCACGTCCGCATGCTCTTCATCCGGCTGACCGCAGTCGTTTGTGAGGCGCAGGCGCCGAGTCGGTGTGAGGCATAGCTGCAGACACGCACGATAACGCAGACCCAGGATGTCGTCGACGAGCCACACCGGCTGTGGGTGCTGCAGCGAGCGTAGGGCGTGCTGGTGGACAAAGTAGTCCTCCAGCGTGAATTCCTCGTCGCGGCGTCGCTGCTGCTGTCCGCCGTCTGACATAATGAAGAATTAGAATAACGAAAGAAAATATGCGGTGAAAGATTTGTGTATAGAAAAATCCAAACAAGTCGGCGTGTGCGTTGGGGAGTGCTGTTTAGGTCTGCTTCTGGACACACACACACACACACACACACACACACACGTCACGCTCGACGATCGTGCAGCAAGTAGAAACAGCCGCGACAGCGTTTTTAATCGCAGTCGTAGTAAGAGAGAAAGCTCACTTCAAGGTGTTCGGCATTCCCACAAGCAGACAAGAAAGAGAGGAGCGCTTGAATGCTTCTTCTTTCTTTCGTTTTGTCGGTCCACTTGTTTGACGCGCACCACCACACAAACACACCAACACTGCGTTGTAGAGCTTTCGCAAATACAATGGGAAGTTAGGAAAGCGAAGGGAAGAGAGAGAGAGAGGCGAGTGACCGCCGGAGTTCATTAAGAGAAATAGGGACGGCAGACACTCAAACCAAGTAACTCCACCGCCTTGCTGAGGCTCTCACACAGAAGCGTACGCCAGAGCTACACCTTTGGCTTTCGGGTTAAAAGAGGTAGATCGCTCTCCGGGTGCGAACAAATACGTTTGGCCCTCCTCTTGCTTCTCGCCGGTCGCCTGTGCAAACAGCTCAAATGAAAACGGCAAAGCTGCGAAACGAGAGATGCAGGTATCGCCGATTTCGTTTTCATCAACGCCATGCGCTTCTCAGAGAACTTGAAAATAGCTGGACCACCGCAGCCACACACACACACACAGCAACGACCCCGCCCCCCCCCTCCTTCGTCACTGCAGGCTTGAATAGGACCCACCCATCGTCGTCAAGAACTCATCGGATACGTAGGGCAGCATGCTGTACAGCAGACTCATGCGGTCCCGAACCACTCGGCCCGACATACCCATCTGCACCTCCGTGACGCCGGTCGCCGCCTCGGCCCACGCAGACGCGGACGATGCAGCGAGCACATCCGCAAAGCGGTTCGTCTCTAAAACGATGCGAATCGCACTGGACAGCTGCTCGTCTGTCAAGGTGGCCCGCACTCGCTTGATGTCCTCCGGCGTGGTGCGGCTGATGTCGTCCTTGGTGACGCGGATCATGCGCTGCTCGAGTGGGGCGGTAGAGCTGCTCGTCGCGGATGCCGTGGAGGCGGTGGGAGAGGACGCGGCAAAGGGCCACACCATCGTGTGTATTGTGCCGGTCTACAATATATTTGCGACGCTTGTAGCTGAGACGACTCCCGCTGGTGCGTGCAGAACGCAGCGCTTTGTGAGACGCGTGGGCGCGTGGAGAGGCGGTGTGAGGAGACAATAGAGTGGGGGGGGGGGGGGAAGAGAAAGGCAAACTTCTATATATGCGTGTGTATATTCTAGCGCCGTTGAGTGAAGGAGCAGCTGTCTCGCCAACGAGATCCGGCCCTTCTTGAAGAGGAGCGGCAGACCCAAAAGGTTCCATCTTCATCTCCTGTGCGGGTTGTCTTCGTCTCTCCTTTTACGCGCGCACACACACAAGCTTCTTAACGACGAGGCAAGAATTCACCTACGACCAGTGAAAGAATTCCGTTGCAGCGTTGCACCTCGATGCACTCTCGAGCACGACACACCAGTGCCGTTGATTCGCAAACGTCGACAGCCGACGCGCACCGGACACCAAAAAAGAGCCAAACAAAAGGAATAATAACAACAATCTGCGCTGCGGCGAGGCAGCAGGGAGGCAGTCCAGCATTGAGGTACGGGCGGCTGGGCTCCGCGTGTGTATTTCCGGCTCACTGCGTACCACCGCGCCGCTGCCTCTCCACGTCAGCGTCGTCGTCGTTGTCGCGGTCTTCGCCGCTCGCCACGCTGTACCACTCCTGCGCCTCCACATCCTCGGCCTCTTCGTCATCGTAGTCGTACCAGTCCAGTTCCCCAGCCGCGTCGCCCGCCATGATGTTGTTATTGGGATGGTGGTGCTGGCGGTTTCCACGCAGCGCGTCGAGCCCACCTGCCTCTTCTCCGACTGGACGGCCCCTTCGCAGACGCTCGCCGAGTTCTTCTTCGAGTTGCTGCAGGTACCGCTGCGTCGCCTCGTCCTCGACGCCGTCTTCGATGTTCTGCCGCACCATGCGCAGCAACTCCTGCGCCATGGCCGGGTCGACGCGCAGCATATCACCGCCGTCGCCTTCCCCGTCACCACCACCCATCCCGAGGTCCGCAGCGTCGGGTCGCAGCAGATCTGCCGGGATCGGCGCCACGCTGACGCCCAACACGGCCTCCTGGGTGAGGTCGAGGTACGCGTAGGGGTCCAACAGGGGCGAGTTGCGAGTGAGGGGCGAGGCGGGGATGTCCGTGCCGGACGCTGTCTTGGACTCGTACACCAACGACCGTACTGCCGCCCGCAGCAGCGAGATGCACTCCGTCAGCTTCCACAGTTCCTCGTGCCGTGCGACGAAAAGCTCGGCGAGGCGTCGCTGCTGAAGCGCCTCGTCGCTGATCTCCTCCGCCGCCCTCGTCAAGACGCCATCGAACCACACAGAGCAGTCGGCGACGGGTAGCACGTCGTCATCGCTGGTGCTCGTGCCGCCGCCGCTGGCCCCACCACACACCACCTCCACACCGCCCAGCGCCTTCACGAGACACACCGCGGCGTGGGGGAAGCGGGTGAGGGCGAAGGTGAGCAGTTCCACTGCAGCCGGGGTGGAGGCGAGGACCTCGCGTTGCGCGTCGGTGATGCCACGAAGCACCTTCGAAGGACGACCGTTGCCTCCGCCACCGTCGCCGCCGCCCTGCCGTCTCTCCTCTCGCTCGATAAAGTGCTTCGCCAATGCCCAGCTAAACGCGTAGTTCGGCAGTGCCTTGATGGAGCGCTCCAGCGAGATGTCCTGCGTGTTGCCGGCGGACGTGCGCACCCGATGCCGCATCTCTAGCAGCCACATCCACCGCTTTGCCCGCAGGGCGGTGTAGTCCAGAAGCAGCAGCATCCCGCACGGGTCGCGCTCGTCGAGCGAGAGCACGCACCGCGTACGTTCGAAAGCGGTCCGCAGGCAGCCCCGTTTCAGCGCCGCGTGCACGCCACGCTGCAGGACCTGAAAGATGAGCGCGTTGCCGCCCCGCGTCACCGGCAGCCGGCGCTGCGCCCACGTCCCGGACAGCGCAACGCGTCGCAGGATCACACCAACTTGGTAGAGTGCGACGTCGAGCAGCTCCCCGGCAAACGCGCTCTCCCCCGTTGCCTCCATCGCGTAGACGCACTGCAGCAGCGTGGGGATGTGGTAAACCTTGTTCCGTGCCAGACACTCCACGAGGTCCTGCACACCGCCCATGCGGTCCTGACACGCCCCGAGCTGCGCCAGTGCACGCTGGAATGCGTTGGAATCACAGTTCAGCGTGTACTCGCGCCTCGTCCTCCTCTGCGTGCCGCGGCCTTCCTCCGTCGTCAGGTACACCCCGAGGGAGTCGTACGGGATCCAGCGAAGGCGGTTGGGTGTCGCGAAGGCGCTGCGCATGAAGTTCACGTGCATGTGATGCGCAGGGAAGAAGGAGACGCTGCCGGTGTCGCGGACTCTGCCGTCGGCGCGGCGGTGCGGCGTGCGGCCGTCCCCGACGTCCTCGACAGCGTCGGCGCCAAACATGCGAATTCGCTCGAGTCGCGTGTCCAGCTGCTGCGCGTCGCAGGCCATCACGAAGTACTGCAGAGAACTCGTAGCATCGCCCGTGGCGTTGGCTTCGGCGTGTGAGTGGGTGTGCGGCGGTGCGGCGTTGGTGGTGTTGGGCGACCCCGGTGCGCTACTGCTGTAGTTGCAGTTGAGCTCGCCTTCCACCGCCTTTGCGGCGTTGTGGGAGTCGGCCTGGTTGGCGAGGACGGCGTCCAGCAGCGCATCCTCCTCCGCTTGTTTCTGTCGCCGCTGTTGCTGCCGCAGCTTCCGCCGCTCCTCCTTCTTGCGGTTCTTCTCCTCCTCGGCCTCCTCGTCGGCGCGTGCGTTTTTCTTCTTGTGGGTGGTGCTGTCCTTTGTGGCTGGCGCTGCGTTGATGTTCACCTCATCATCCTCCCCCACCTCTTCCCAATCATCTGCGGTCGGAGAACTGGAGCTGGCTGCCGCCCCTGCTGCTGCTGGCTCCTGTGATGGGTACTTCTCGGACTTCTTCGATTTCTTTGTTTGGCCGCTGGTAGAAGAAACGGGGTCGGATGACGACTTCGCAGCGGGTGCCTCCTTCCCCTCCGCCTTCTCCTCCGCCTTTTCCTTCTTCGCTTTCTTTTTGTCGTGGTGCCGATGCGCGGGCTTGGTCGGCTGCGTGGTGCTCGGCACCGCCCACTCGTCTGCCTCCTCCTCCTCCTCCGCGGCGTCGAGACCGGTAGCGCGGCTCACCAAGTCCTGCAGCCGGCGCATCTGGCGCGACGACATGTTTATGTCGGTGTTGGTGCCTTCGTCTGCGTACTCCGCCACGGCCGATGATCCACCACGGGTTGAAATGGGAGGGAGGGAGAAACGGAGTTGACGCACTGTGAAAAGGCGTACAGGCAGAGAAGCGACGGCAATGTATATAGAAAAGATAATAATAATGTAGATGATGACCACCGGGAATGACCGGCGATGCCTCCAACTCCTACCGCAAAAAAACAAAAAGACGAAGAAAGAGAGGGCGATTGAATACCCGCTTGTCACGCAGCCTTGTTCCGGTGTGTGTTTTGGATCTCTGCACTGCCAGCACCGTTCCGCACCGTCGCCACCATCCGCAGAAAGAGAGCAGAGAGCAGCAACAGGCAAAGAGGCCGAGGAACACAAGCGAAAAGGGGGAGGGGGGTGGCGCGATATGTAGAAGAAGGTTTTTTATTTGAGGAAAATCAAAAGCCGGTGCGGGACACACACTCACACACGCACACACGCGCTGGTTTACGCCGCTTGTTTGCTTTTGTCTCTCCTACGTCTTCTCGACTTACGCGGCTTGAATTGAACGGGTTATTCTGGCGAAGGCCATCGCGGATCCCGCGGCCGCTGCTCCGCCGCCGCCGCCGCACCGCGGCCAGCAACGTCTGCCTCACCCGCTGCACCGCCGAGTCCCAGAAAAGAAATCAAAAGGTGGGTGTTGCTTTGCATCGCGCGCTAGAAAATGTCGTACAAGTCTATTAAAACCGCTCACGCAGCATCGAGCAGGTGCTCCACCGTGCCCGCAGGTTTACGCAGAAAGAGCAAAAGAAAGCAAAATCATTTGTATGGGGGGGGGGAAGGAGGAGACAACACAACTCTTATGATCAGTGGTCGTGCGTGACGGGCCTCGCACGCAGCGAGGGCGGCCGCGCCGGCGACCCGCTTCCGTCCACGTCCCCACGTGTCGCGCTGGACGAGTACGCCGAGAGGCCGTCTTCCGTCGAGGCGGACCGCCGTACCTCACTCCACACCTTCGCTGCTGCTGTCGCCGTCTCCTTCATAGGCGGGCTCGCAGATGGTGACCGGAGCCCCTGCGACGGAGTCCAGGGAGAGACGTTGTAGACGTGCTCCGTCGCAGGGCTGTGGACTGTGGAGGCGGCGAGCTCGCGCCCTCGACGTGAAGGGTCATACGCCGGTTGCCGTTGTGAGGGAGAAGGCGAAGAAGAAAAAGAATTGCGGCGCCTTTTGCTTATCGCAGTCGGTGTTTCCGCTGCGCCGCTGTGGATCGTGGTCATACGCTGCGCGTCACGGGAGGTACTCCTCGAGCCAAGCGAAGGGAGAGGAAGGTGCGGTGGGGTGACCCTTGTGGAGTCGCGAGGCGTAGCGAAGGGTACAGCCGTGTTGCGGTGGTCCAACAGTCGCACCTCCTCCCCCGCAAAGGGAGTAGGCAAAGGGTTTCGGTTTTGGGCTTCGAGGCCCGCCGTGGCGCCAAACCAGGCTGCGGCGGGTGCAGCATCGTTCTCCGGTATCGGGATACCTCCTCGTGCGGAATGCGTTGTGGACTGCGAAGAAGGCAGAGCTGGGGCGGGAGAAGAGCCATGACGCGTCAACGCACGCAGCCGCACCAGCTCCAGCGCTACGCCCTGCACCGCCGTCACGACGTACTGTCGCAGCCGGGCGAGCTGCGCTGACGAGGCGTCCGCACAGGTCTCTGCTGCTGCTGCGGTGGAAGAAGGTGACCTAGTTCCACGCAGGGTTGGCGTCGCAGCGGCGGCGGTGGTGCTGCTGCAATGACGCGCCGCGCTCGACGGAGTACGCGCGATTCGGCGTTGCTGTTGCCGGAGCCGCGTGCGCACCATGGCTGCCACAGCCCTGTCGTCCTCCTCCACCACAATCTCCTCTATCATCGGTTCATCGAGCTCGAAGAGCTTCTTCTCCGTGGGCGACACATCCACCACCGCACCACCGCTGTAGCCGCTGCTGCTGCTGCTGGCGCGTCGCGCGTCGGTGGTCGGCGCTGGTATGGCGCCGTCGTCGTTCGTCTTCTTCTCCTGCCACGCAAACGGCGGTGCGTCCACGATGCTGGCGATCGTCCGCAACGTGGTCGATTCAAGTTCAGTGTGCAGCGCAGCCGCCGACTCCAGTGCCGCGCCGCGCTGACTTCGCACCGCCATCTCCTCCTTCAGACCTTCGATCCTGTTCTGCAAGGCGGACACGGTAGACTGCAAACGTACGCGCTCCGCCTCCCATGCGCCTTCCGCGACACGGAGTTGCGCGACGGCAGTCCGTAGACCCGACAACTCTGAGCTACGCACCCGCCCGTCGTGCTCCTCCTTCAGCTGTTGCGTGGCTTCCTGCGCGCGGAAGATCTGCAGTTGACTCAGTGTCGCCTTGTGATTGTCCTTCAGCACCGCGAGCTCGTCGGTCAGTGCCGCCTGCGCCGCCGTGCACTGGGTCACCTGCGCTGCAAGATGCGTTGACTTTCCTTGCTCCTTTTCAAGCGCCGCCTCGGCGGACTTCTTCGCTGCGGCGAGCTCCTCCAGTTCGTGCTGGGTGCTTTCCAGCGTCGCTTTCACCTCCGTCAACGCCGCCTCCGCCGCTGTACACCTCTCCGCCGTCGCTGCGCCCCTTCGCTGTGCCTCGGCCAGCTGCTCCTCCAGCTCCTGCTTCACCAGCTCTAGCGTTTCCTTCTCCGTGGTGCAGCGCAGCCGTTCCTTTTCAAGATGCAGCACCTCGCGTCGCGCGCCCTGCACGTCGTCTTCCCACTTCTTCATGGACAGCGAGCGCCACTGACACTCCGCCTGCGCCTCACTGAGTTGGGACTTGAGGTAGCGGCACGCCTGCTCAAGCTTCTGCACGATGTCGTGCCGCTGCTGTGGGGTGTAGTGGGCACTGTTGCTGTTCAATGGAGACGCGCTACCAGAAATGCGGCGCTTCCCATCCACGTCCGCAGAGGCCGTTCTAGGCGCCGTTGATGTGCTGCTGTGCGACCTCGAAGTGGCAGGCGAGGTGTTCCGCTGCTGCCTTCGACGCTGCTGCTGTCGTTTGGCGAGTTCCGTCACCTGTCGTCGAAGCTCACGAGCAACGATGTGCGTCCGTGCCACGTCGTGATGCAGCAGCCGCGAAAGGCGCTTCACCGAGAGCGTCCCTCCGTCGCCAGCCGCAGAGGCGGTTTTCGATTTCCTCGCCTTGGCGATGATCGCGGTAGCCGCTGTTGCTGCCGCTGCTGCCGTGGTCGTCGTGATGGTGCGTGCTTGCCTGGGCGTGGAAGAAGGTGTCTCGACATCGCCGTGGCCGTCGTGATCGTCATCGTCGACGTCGCTTCGGTCGCTGTCTCGGCTCGCCGCAGACACCAACGAGGTGGTCGTCGCCTCTACGTCAGAGACGGTCGAGTAGTTGCTGTCGTCTTCATACACCAAGGTGTCGTCCGGAGCCGGCGTGCGGGCCGCCGGGTGGCCACCACTGCCATGGACATCCCCAGCATCGCTGCCGTCGGTATTTCCATTTGACAGGTTGCCACGCGGTGCAGCATCCGCAGCAAGATGCTTCACTTCTTCTACGAGATCCTCTAACGACTTAAGCACCTGCGCCTGCTCACTCGCAGACCGCGACAGCGTCCGACGCGCGTCACCGACCTCATTTCTCAAGGCATCTTTCTGTCGCTCCACGAAGCTAAGTCGGTGCATTCGCTTGCGGACATCAGCTGTTTGCTTCTGCGCCAACGCACGCATGCTGGCGAGCTCTGCTGCTATCTTCTCCTTTTCCTCCTGCAAGAGGCGTACGTCGTCCGCGTGGTCGCGATTCGCAGCGGTGGCCTCCGCAAGTTGATCCTGCAGGTGTGCGATGGCGTCGTCGCGCTCGCGCAGTGCTGCCTCCATCGTTGACATGTTCTGCCCGAGCCGCAGCACGCGTTGGTGGATCTCGGCATACTCGTCTTCCGCCTTCGTGTCGCGTTGCGAAGAGCGTTGTCGCAGTGCGCTCAGCTCCTTGTCCTGCTGTTCCATCTGTCGTATCAGTTCGGTGTTTCGGTCGTCCCTCTCTTGCAGGTCGCCGCGCAGCTGACTCAGCTGGGCTTCTAAGGTGGCGTGCCGTCTCTCGTAGCGTCGACGCGTCGCCTCCCACTCGGCGGACTCGCTTTGCAGCTGCGCCCGTTGATCCTCCTGCGCGTCTCGTGCGTGGTACAGCTCCACCTCCAGCCGCTTCATGGACTCGCGCTGTGCCTGCTGCGCCTGCCGTGCGTTCTGCAGCGCTTCTTCGAAGCCGTTACGCGCCGTCGTGACCGCAGCCAACTTCTCCTGCAGCTGCGTGTTGTCGCTGCACACGCCGTTGTAGGCGGCAACGAGCGCCTCGTAACGCGTCGCCTGCGCCTCCACCTCGTCGCTCACCTGTCGCAGCACCGCTTCCTCTTCCGCATCCCGCTCCTTCTCGTAGCGGCGGAGGGCAGCGGCGATGCGCCGCTCCACCTCTGTCGTGGGGATGGCGGCGCTGCTCGTCGACGCATGAGCCTCAACTCTGGCGACGGCAACATCATCGCCACCATCACCGTCGTTTGACCTCCTGCGAAGAGCGGAAGTGCGGAAACGCCGTTCCTCTTCCTCCGTCTCGACCCTCGTGCTGTCTTCATCATTATCCCCCTCGCTGCTGTCGTCCATGAAGGAGGTGTCGGCAGCAGCCATGATAGGAGACCCCCCATCGTCCACATCCTCACAGTTCTGCGGTATCTGTTTTTGCGGCTGCTGCTGACGTGCCGCCTCCACGTCCGAGAATAAACTGCGTGACGGTGACGCAGGGGCCGCCGCGGGGGCGGCGAACGGCGTTGAAGACGATGCGCCAGGTGCCCTCGACCGGTCCTTGAGCCTCGCGTTTCGTGTTGACCTAGACGGGTGCGTACCATCCACATCGTCGTTGTCGTACGACACTGCTGACGCTGCATGTGTGTTGTGGGGCTTCGACGATGATCTCCGCGACGGCTGAGGACGTTCCTCGCGCCGCGAGACCGACGATGGTGAAGACGCCCTGGCCGCTTTGCCTTGTGGAGACAGAAAAGCCAGCGCGCTCGGTTCTTCCCTGTGCGCTGGCGTCGGCAGCGTCTTTGATGACGATGCGGCGGTGATGCCGCTGCTGCTGTTGCGTGTCTGCGTGGCGGAGGAGGAGGCGAAAGAAGTGGTGGGGGCTGCCGGTGGAACGTGCGGTACGGTGCTCGAGGACAGGGGGTGGCCCCGTGCGTTGTACCCCGGTGGAGCTCTCGTGTACGTAACCGAGAAGGGAGAAGTCGAGGAGGCCGCGGCGGCGGGTCGCTTCGCAGAGGCGGACTGAAAGCGAGCACTTGAGGTGGCGCTGCTGATGCCGTTGCCTGCGCGCCCTGGCAGTTCCGGCGTGGCCGTGTCCATCAGTGTCTCCAAGGCGGAGCGGACGACGCGCCGGCCGGAGCTGCTGCCGGCTCGCTGCGTCGCTGCTGCATGGGTGGTGCTCGCGCGGCTTGGAGTCGTGAAGGCCGACATGGGTGCTACACACCAAGAACGACTCAGACTATTAATAGCACCAACAGAATAAAAAAGAGAAAACACAAATGGTTGTGCGGATATGAAATGAAGAAAGGAATTCTATGCGCCAAGGAAGGGGCGGCGTGTCAGGAGGAGTTGGGTGTGGGGTGGTGGGGTTCTACACCGTCTATCTATGAAAACGCATATGATGCGTTACGTGTGTTTATGTGGGTTCTTTAAGCTGCCGCGGCAGCGTTCTTAATTCCTTTTGAACGACGTCAGCCGCAGAGAACACGGCAGTGCTGTTGACGGTACACCACCTGCGCGCTCTTCGCACTCGACAGGAGAGGAAGAAGACAGAAGAGAGAGAGAGGTGGATGGGGAGCTGAAGCGATAAAGCATAGCGCTCGTTGTCGAAGGGGCAGCACGGAGAACACGGGGTTGGCTGGTATTGAGACTTCCCTTTGCAACGCCAACGCCGTTGCGGGCTGAAGGACAGAACACTATAGCAAGTGCACCAACAAAAAGCACAACGTTCATGCCGATGCACGATGAAGCCCCTTCGCATCTTGGTGGGTCAGCATTTTCTCTTTCCCTTCTTTCTTCCAAGACGCAAACTGACGCGGGAGTGTATGCTTCCAGAGCAGAGATACCTAGAAACAAAAGAATACCAGGGGGCAAATACAAGTACATAGCAGGCGACCACATGTTGCCAAGCAACGCAGCAAGCGGCGCGAAAGAGAGGCGACAACGTGTCGCTCATCCCGCGACATCTCCGCCCGTCTGCTGCTTCAGCTGTGCACGCGCGAGCGCGGAGGAGGGGTGGTGGCGGCGAAGGATGTTGTTCACGTTCCGCACGTACTCCTCCTCTACGTAGGCGCGTCGCGCGTTCTCCTCGCTCATCACCGACTGCCGCTCCTCCTCCATCGCACGGCGGCTCAGCAGCCACTCCTTCTTGAACTGCGCGACGTACAGCAGCTGATCGTCTAACTCGGCCGACATCATGTCGATCACTTTCAAGCGCGTTTTGGCCTCGCGCCGCTCGCACTCCAGGCGCACCACCCGCTCTGTTTTCATGAAGTGCTGAAGCGCCACTTCCCCGACCAGTTGTTTTGCGCGTGAGGACATCGAAAGAAGAAAGAAAAAAAGTTTTTTTTGTGTGTTTATTTGTGTGTACGCGCAGAAGAACTGCAAAGAGCCGAAAAACAGGCCTTTTGTTGTTCTCCGCTGCCGTCAGTTTGTTGGAGAGATGTGGGTGCGCTGCGTCCGTTTGCTGCGACGATAGCGGTGGCGACCTGCACGGACGAGCTGAGCAGCAAAATGACAGAACTTTCCAGTAGAAACAAAAAAAAGGAAGAGCACCAGACCACAGAAGAGAGCGCGACGTAAAGCAAGAAGACTCCATTACTATTACTATTATTTTGAATAGTTGCACACGGGAGCGCAATAGCGAGGGGGGAGAACAGCATACGAGCCTTCCGCTGAGGAGCAGCGTGGGACACCGCCGTTGCTCGCCGCAGCGGTGCGCCGTTTTCGAGCAAGTTTGTGAAAGGAAGCAAATCACTTCTGACGCGGTTGTCGCAGCCGCAATCGGGTTCCTGTTGCTGCGATGGTTGCAGAAAAGCACTTGAGATAAGGGAGCGGAGAGAGGCGGGCAGTAGTAAGTCGCCGGTGTCGCGAGCACGTGCGCGCATACTCCCGTGAAAAGAAGAAGTACAACAAGAGCGACAGAGAGTCCGCCAAACATCATCAACCACCAAGGGGTGCGGTTTGTGTGCGTGTGTGCCGCGTCAGTCAACGCGCCTCTTCAATATCACGCTTCTTCTGATGCTGCTGCTGCTGCTGCTCGCGAAGTCTCCGATGGTGCCACACTCAGCAGACGCATTTCCAAAGGCACGAGACAACCCAAAACGACGTTCAGCGCAGAGGAGTACGGACGCGAGGCATTCTGGGCCGCAGAAGCAGCCGATTCCCTGCCAACCGCACCGTCAGGCACTTCATGACCGTCGTCATCGCCTCCAAACCCGTTGTCACGCGGCAGCTCTTCAGTCACCGTCTGCTGCTGCTGCTCCTCGCATTGTCGCCGACGCCGTCTGGTCATATGATCGGCACAGCCGCGATATCCAAAGAGGTTATGGCGATAGCACACCCAGTGCACCGCCAACTTTGTCGCATCCTGCAACGTGCTCACGAGTGCGCAGTACACAAGCAGCGCCAGCTGCACCGTTAAGTAGAAGCCGTTGACGAAGTACACCAGTATGCCAACAACGACGACGAAGCATGCCAGGTACACCACGCGCCCCGTCAGCAACCGCACACCGCAGCGCACCGGCGAGGCGCAGATCAGCGCCAGGCTCAACTGGAGGTAAAAGAGATACATCGTGGCGGTCGTGGATCGCAGCGTGGCGCGGGTGAAGTCCACGTCACTTTTAGGAAAGACGAAGGCAAGGGGGAGCCCCAGCGCGAAAGGGGCGCCCCCGCTCACACCGACCACCGCCATACATGCGGACTGCGCCGCGGCAACGGGGTGGCTGCAGCGACACGGTGCACCAGACCAGTACACGACATCGCCGCTCTCGCACGCCTGAAAGAGAAGACACGTTACGCTGAGGAAAACCAAGAAGGGAAGGTAGAGTTTGCTGGGCGACAGCAGGGAGTCGCAGCGGCGCTGGCCGGCAATGTAATCGCACTTCGCCGGCCCAATCAACGCGGCGAGGCCGATGAACATCGCCGTCTGCAACGTGACGGTGAAGGCGTAGAAGAAGAGTCGGTGCACGATAGCGAAGATCGCGCGACTGCCGACAATCAAGTCGCACACGGCGGTCAGGCGGGTGCAGGGGAGAGCGATGTCAGCTCCCCACACCGCCCCCTGCGCTGTCAAGGGCGGACCTCTATCGGGCGTGACAAGCGCCACGCCGACATCCGCCACCTGCGCCGCCGCTGCGTCGTTGAGACCGTCGCCCAGCAAGCCGACACGCCGCCCAGACTGCTGCAGGAGACGCACCAGCGACAGTTTATGCTGCGGCTGCATCTCCGCATACACGTGACAAGCCGCGAGCGCCCTCCTCTCGGCCGCACCCACATCGTCCACCGCCATCAGCAAACTCGAGGTGGCGGAGATCGAGGTGGAAGCCGCCACCGCAGAAGTGCTCAGCGCCTGCCACGGCTCGAGGGCCGGCACGTCGCCACCCGTCATCACACGCAGCGAAGACCCGGTGGGCAGGAGGACGGCGGCGGCGACCGTCTCAACCACCGCCTTCGTGTCACCGGACGCGATGGTGAACGACACGCCGGCCCCTGCACACCTCCGCGCCAACTCCGCGGCGTCGTCGCGCAGTGCGTCGTGGAAGGTGACGAGGCCGGCGAGCTGCCACGGCCCGTCTTCCTTCCCGACCGCAACGGCGCGCGTGCGAAGGCCGCGGTAGCCCCACGTCGTCGCAAGCCGCTGCGCCTCTGCACGGTCGCGAACAAGTTCCGCGTCGGGGCCGGAGGCGGCGGCACCACCGTCGTTGGGATTCGTGTCCTTCGTGCCCAGCAACGCGAGCACCGCATTCACCGTCCCCTCCGTCACCCGCAGCACTGTGCCGTCGACGTGGCGAAGAACAGCGGAGGTGCGACGCTCGCCGTCGTGCTCGACGTAGGCGAGTCGAACATACTGGTCGCACGCGTCGAGGTCAGCGCACCGCAGCACCGCTCGCCGCATCGGGTGCAGACTCGGCTCGTGCCACCGCGTCGCCAGCGCCATCAGCTGCACGAGAGCGTCACGGGAGGGGTAGAGCGGGGAGAAGGAGCGGAAGGTGGCCGCCACGGCGTACACACCGGTGGTGAGGGTGCCGCTCTTGTCTGCCACCAACACGTCGACGGAGGCCAAGGAGAGCAGGGCACCAAGGCGGAGGACGATGGCGTGTGTGCGCTGCATCGCCACCGCGGCGCCGCGCGTGACGGCCAGCAAGACCGCCACGTCGAGATGCGTTGGGAGGCACACCCACGCGTAGAGCATCATCTCGTGCGCTACCCGTGCGGCCGACCACCGGAAGCGCCCACGGCACAGCCCGTACAAGACGAGCTCCACAGTGACCACGACGACGAGGATGGCGAAGCTGGTTAGGAGGTAGCTGCGCTGCACCAGCGGCCGGGTGAGGCCAAGGGACAGGTGCTGCAGAAGCTTCACGGTCTGTCCGACAAAGGTGTCCACGTTGGTGTAGCGCACCACCGCAGTGCCAGCGCCGTCAACCACGACCGCCCCTGCTTTAAGGAGGTACCCCGCCTCCGCCGTCACCACCTCGCTGCTCCCCGTTAGCTGCGACAGGTCGAGGAGCAGAGAGCCGTCGAGGAGAGCGCAGTCCGCGTGCACCACGCAGCCGTGGACGAGCCGCACCAAATCGCCTGGCACCAACTGCGCGGAGCCGACGAGCGCCCACGTTCCCTCGCGGTAGGCCACCGCACTGCTACGCGAAAAGCAACCTTGCAGGGCGGTGGCCCCGCGCCGGCTCGTGCACGCGCTCCACACGAGCACCACCACGAGAAGACTCAGCAGGTACAGCAGAGCCAACACCGCAGCAAGATCCACGTACACAATGAGGTAGAAGACCAGGCCGCCCGCTACGAGCAGCGTCGTCGGAGACACAACGGCGCAGCGCGCAAATCCGTAGAAGCCGACCGGGGAAGCCTCGATGCCGTTCCTGCCAAAGCACTGGCGGGCCGTGTGAAGGGCGGCCGAGTTGAGAGCCACGGGTGCCGACATCGTCGCACACACGCGAAGCGAGAGTTGAGCGAGGGGGAAAACCCCTGGGGCTTTTGTGTTTGTCGGTGCTTTGTTTGGTGGGGCGGCAGCGGCGAAGCCCATCAAGACGTGATGAAGCGACGGGGCAGAAGAATTGCACGAGTAGAGGGATGCTGCGAGGAACGGAGGGCGCCACCCACCGCCGTGAGAACGGCGAGTCACGAAAGAAGAAGAATGATAAAAAGGGAAATATAATTAAAAAGACAGCAGAAGGACGAAAGCAGCGGAAATGCGTTTCCTTGGTGTGGAAGCGTAAGGAAGGTTGTGGTGTGGAAAGTTCTGTCTGGTCCCCGTGACGCGTGCGCGCATCACCTACGCGGAGTTACTCGACACCGACGCTTCAGTGCTGCAAAAGAGAAAAGAAAAAGAAGAAGCAAAATTCATACACGGGACCAACCGCAAGTATCATTGAACCAGACATGAAGGAGAAGGGAGGGGAGATATCAAGGCCGTAGTGCGAAGGCAGAGGCGTGCAGATGCATCTTTGAGCCATCCACTCAACAATCTAAAGGGAAAGGGGAAAATAGAGAAAGCAGCGCGTGTTGCTTGTGAGGTGCACCAAGGCTACTGCTGCTGAGGGCACGACAACGGCGTCCCTTCACCAGACTAAGAGAAAAGACCGTACTTTCATTTGCAGGACTCCAACGAGTGTTGCATGACGGAGCAACAAGAGAAAAGCTGCGCGCAGTCTCTTCCTCTTGCTGCACGAAATACGCATCAACAAAGGCCAGGTGCCCTTCAACGTCCGTTCACCGTTTCCGGAGCAAACAACGATTACCGTTTTCCTTCCCGTGTGTGACTCAAACCGCCACAGGGGAAGACCATTAATACACGCTCACCGGTACGGCTGAACACCGAAGGTAGTCCACGCACCCGCGGAGAAAGTCGAAGAGCTTTCTAAGGAAAACAAAAAAATGGAAAAGAATCGAGTGAGGGCGGGCAAACGCACACCAGGAAACAAATGAGCCGGTTGCACCCACACACCGATGCGATGTCTCTTCTCTAGCTGATCTAAAAAAACAAAGGAAAGAAAGAAGAATACATTGGAAAACAAACGGAACAATCTTACCAGCAACGTACGACACGCAGATGATAAGACGAGATGAAACAGAATAGGCGTTGTTGCTTCCCACAGCGGAGTCTCTCTCCTCTTATCTCTCTCTCTCTCTCTCTGCGTGAAGCACCCCTTTCATCCTCGCCAACAAACAAGCCACCAACGAACAACGACATTTGCACATACACGTAAAGGGGGAGTAAGCGAAGAAGCACCATGTTGCCTCCGCGGTGTTGGTGAGCTCCGGCCACGCCAGCCTATTTATTCCTCTCGCGGGCACAAGCCGGCCTTTCGAAACAGGCGTGGTTCTTCCTCCTCGTCCTCCTCCCTATCCACCCCGGACGGCGTGCGCGCCGTGGCGATGCTGCCAACGGTGCCGGACCGCACGATGCCGCGACGCCCGCCCGCAGCGCCGCTGTTCTCCTTTCCTAAACTAGCCTTTGTCGCCTTCACGCAACAGGAAGGAGAAATGCTGCCCTCGTTCCTTTCGTAGCTGCCGCCGCCGCTATTGTGGAGCCCTTCCTCGCGTGCCTCGCGGTCGCGCCGCCGCTTCTCTGCGACCGCCGCCAACGCGGTGGTGAAGTCGAGGCGGCGCCGCGAGCCAGCGCCAGTCGGTGCCGGCGAGGCAGAGGACGGCGAGTGGCGCTCCTTCCTCTCCAGCCACGACCCGCTGTCGCTTACATCGTTTTCTCTACTGGCGGCACCGGCGCTGTTCGTGCCGCGTGTGCGCAGCGTCGCCGCGGAATCGGCGAGTCGTCGTGGCCCACGCGTGATGCCGCCGGCCGACGTACTCCGCACTTTTTCATCGCCGTTGTCGTCGTCTTTGGCTGCGCCGTCGCCGCTGCTGCCGCTTCCGTCTTCGCCGTCGCAGCGGCAATCCGAGTTGCCTTCGTCGATGCGATGCATGCGGTACGGCTGCCGCTGCCGCACCACGGAGGACGCGGCCGACGCGGCGGCAGCTGAAGAGGCGGACGAAGTCGCCGGCAAAGGACCGGAGGCATCCCCGCTGCGGGAGGACAGCGGCAACGGCGGCGCCGCCACCACCTCCGACGCCTTCACCGCTTTCGAAAGAAAAGAAGAAGACGCAGAGGCGGTGGCCGACGTTGGCGTAGCTGCTCGCCGCGCCACCGTCACGGCGTTACTTGTCAGCGCAGGAGTCGTCGCATCCGCAGCTGAAATGACCGGTCGGCATTGCCCGCCACGAGAGAGACGTGCCTGCGTTGACGTTGACAGCGGATTCGTGCTCTCCTCCCCCGCTCCGTTTTGGGGGCCATCGGGATCGCCCCACGATGATTCCCGGTGCAGCGTGCGGTCACCGCCGTCGTTGAGGACGTCGTCCTTAGCGAAAGATCGGTCCTCCTCGCCCTCCTCTTCGATGGACGAGGGAGAGGAGGAAGACGACGAAGAGGAGTCGCTGCTGGCGTGGCTGCCCACCTTGTCCTCCTCGTCGATGTCTTCCTCATCGCCCTCCTCGTCCCGCTGCGCTCGACGCGGTCCGCGGCTGTACGCGAAGACGTTGTCGCGATTGTCCATGGTGCGAATGAGCATCTGCCGCAGGTTCAAGATGGACTGCTGCTGCTCTTCGATCTGCTCAATCAGCCGATCCGTCTCCGCCATCATGCGACGGCGCTCCTCCCGCACGGTCGCCTCCATCTCCCGCTTCTCGCGACGCAGCTGCTCCAGCTGGTTCTCCAAGTCACACTTTGCGTCATAGAGGAGGTCGATTTGCCGTCCCTGCCGCAGCAGGTCACTGAACAATGCCGTGCTTTTCGAGTACGCCGCCTTCAGCAGCGAGTCCAGCTGGGCGACGTGCAGCTGGTCCTGATCCCCGCGCAAGCTGGTCAGGTCCTTCACGAGGCTCTCCATCCCGGCCAGCTTCATTTCGTGCCGCTCCACCTGACGTTCGTACTTGCGATCTTGCTCGCGGATCAGCGCCTCGTAGTGCGACTTGGTGCTCCGCTCCGTCCTGGCCTCCTCGAGCGCCTTGTTCTGCATGTCCATCACCCGCGAACGACTCTCCGAGAACTCGCGCTTCAGCTGCCGGATAAAGCGCTTGCTCTCCTCGTTCCGCGTAGACAGGGCGACCACCTCGATGATCTTCTCTTGCAGCGTCTGGTAGGTGTCCGCCTGCTTCTCGGCCATCTCTTCGTACAGCGCGCGCTGGTGCTCGTACATCTTCTCGAAGCGGTTGCGCTCCTTCTGCAGGGTCTCGTAGTCCGACAGCGGCACCGTCGGCTCGGCCGCGGACGGGCTGCGATCATGCGTGCTGTGCCGCGGAGTGCTACGCGTCAACACTGAGTTGTGCGAGTCGGCGCGGTGTTGCTTGCCGCTGCCGAGCTGCGGGTTGCTCGAGCGCACCTGCTTCGGCGTCGGCGATTTGCTGGTGGGGCCCGTTGAGAAGTTCAGCTTCCCGTTGGAGGTGTTTGTCACGTCGTGCAGGGCGGAGCGCTGACAACTGGGACGGCCCTTGCTGCTGCTGCTACTGCTGCTGTTTTCGCCGCTGCTCTTGCGGTGGGCTGAGGAGAGCGAGCCCAGGTGACTCGCGTCGTACTCCGTCATGTCGACGCGTGCTCCCTGACTAGCTGGCATGCGCTGCGGTGTGAGGAGCGCCAAGGCAGACGGCGAGGCGTCGATGCACTGCGCCGTCATCCGGTCCACCGTGTCCTCAAAAAAGATGGCTGCGTCGTCGGTCGACGCGCCGAGGCGACGTCGCACGGGCGTCACATCAACGTCGCTGGCTGCACCGTCGGCCATCAGCATCGCTGCTCCACCGCTGCTGCTGCTGTTGCCAGAGGACATCTATTCACAGCAATCAGGCTGTGGAAGTGAAGAGCTAAATAAATAAATATATATATATAACAAGAGTTGATGAGGCAATGCGTGCCGCCTGTGGAGCAGCTGGAAGAAAAAGCTTGCCTCTCGACGGAGCCTCAAATGCAGACACACAAGAATTAGACCGATACAGCTGTGTTGTGTATTGTTTTGCAAAACACAACAACACACACGTCGCTAAGATGCGCTTGAGGCAAATCTAGAAAGAAGAGAAAAACAATATAGTGGTGTATCTAAGGAGTGGGTGGTCTAGTGTAAAGAAACGAAGACGGCACGGTACGGCGCGGCGGCGCAGGCGTGTAGCTGCGTACAACCTTTGAAAAGAGAAAAAAAAAGAGGCGAGAAAGCTGGCAAACTGGTGAGGGCTACAACGTGACACCAATTGAAACAACCAAGCAGAGTAGACGACGACACAACGCGTTTGTTGGCCAACAAAAGAAAGCACCAGGAGTAGAAGAGAGAAGGGCTGAATGAAGCCGGAAGAGAGAGAGAGAGAGAGCGCATCAAAGCGAATTCGGCGAGAAAACAGTGTGGTTGCTGAGAAGCATGGCGACAATGTGACGTTCATCATGCGGAGCACAGCGGCCACTGCGCCACAGAAAACATGGTGCACTCAAACTTCGTGTTCCACCACACCTCCTGATCCCAACGCCTTCTGTAACAAATCATGTCCTCTCTTTGAAGGCGGTACGCAGAAGACACGCAATTCAGAGAGTACAAGCAACTGCTTTTTTGGCTGTTCATGAAACGTTGATGAAGCGCGCGGCACGGAAAATCAAACAGAGGAAGAAGTAGTTTAAGCGCTCACACGACTGGCGTACAACGCCACGCTCAACAACAACAGAAAAGAGAAAGATGCGGACGCGGTGCGGCAGCGGCACCGCAAACACGCTGCGACGACCATCAGGTCCAGATAAGCCCAAAGAAACACGCAACTACCGCCCGGTATCAAAACACCAGCGTGCTTCTTTGCGTGTGCGTGTGTGTGTCTTCAACGACACCGATAATGGCAATTTTCCTTTTACCAGTTCGTCCACGAGGGGTCCTTCTCGTACTCGGACATGTAATGCAGCACCTTCTCCGTGATCTCCCGCTCATCGTAGCGGTTGCCGAAGAAGTCCACAAAGCGACCCTGCGGATCAAACAGGAAGATGGCAATGCTGTGGTCAATGAGGTAGTCGTCCGTCTGTGCGTCTTCCTCGGTGGGGACGGAGTAGTACACGCGGTAGGAGCGGCAGGCGTCGTTGACCTGCTTCGGCGTCCCCACCAGGCCGATGAACTCGCGGTGGAAGACGGAAAGGTACTCCTCAATCGCCTCCAGCGAATCGCGGCGGGGGTCACAGGACACAAAGAGCGGCGAAATGCGCTCGTTTGGCTTCGCGGCGTGCACCGCGTCCACCACGTGAGACATGCGGTTCAGCTCCACCGGGCAAATCTCCGGACAGTGCGTGAAGCCGAAGTAGAAGAAGGCCCACGAGCCGAGGAAATCGGCCTGCGACACCGGCTCGCCCTTCGTGTTCACCAGCACAAACGGACCACCGAGCGCGGGACGCCCACGCGTCTCGACGCTCACCCGCGCGCTGCCTTCGTCGCCGAAGTAGCGCCGCTTTGCCTGCCGGCTGCCGTACCACAGAGTGGCGACGCACAGCAGCAGGAAGCCGCCCACCGCCGTGTACTTCTTCAGGGCCTGGCGGTCCTTCTCTAACTCAGCCGCCTCTGTCGCCTCGGAGTTGTTCGGGTTGGCGGCGCCTTGCTCACGAAAGCCGCGGTGACCGCACACCAGTGAGGTGACCCCGGTGCCGTTGAGAACGGTGGGCGCTGCGAGGAGAGAGGCGGGTGCGCGCCGCAGCGTCGTCCATGCGCGGGTGCGCGAGGCGAGTGAGGAGACGAGGGGCGCGCCCGGTATGGCGCGAAGGTAAAGCAGTGTTCGCTGCATGGCCACAGGAGGCACACCAGCACAGGTTTGTGACGACTGACGAGTACAATTATTTGCTCCTGTGTAGTGAAAGCAGAAAAGGGAAAGTAAAACAACAAAATCAGCAGTGGTTGAGACACCTCGCGGCGACAGACGCGACACGACACATGAAAGCGATGCGCAGCATCAAAAATGGAGCCCGCGCTGTGTGCGAAGACAGTTTAGAAAAGTACATAGACATATAGTTATGTGGTCAGCTGAACTCTTTCTTCCTGAAAAGAACTTCGCCGACTGCACCCGCTGAACGCATCCGCTGCTCGTTTCTTCTATTGCCGTCACCTTTCTTTTTGGTCTCTCAACGTACGTGAGGTGGCGGAGAACAACGATAAAGAATTCACACAGGTGATATAAATATATATATAGAGAGAGAGGAATTGAAAAACGCAAACGAAGCGAACAGAGCTAAAACAAAAGTCACACCGTTGCTGAAACAACAATGCGTGCTTTGCACAGGAGAAAAAAAAATATTGTGTTTTGCAATGCGCTGCAGCTGCTGAGTATCAGCTCCCACAGGTCATGCGCGGCGCCCCACTGCAACGCCGTTCAATCCAGGTCGATTTCCAACTTCGCCGGCTCGTCCCGTGTGATGGGCGTCGACGACCGCGAGTTCACCAAATCATCTCCGCCAGACGCTGTAGTGGTCACCGTAGGCGTCGGCGCGGGCATCGTCGCTTTCGACTGCGTTGTGTCACGCACACCGCGCCGCGCCTTCGCCTTCGCTTCCATCACCACCGGTGCGTCATCGATGCACAGCGTCTCCTCCGTCGTCGTGGCGGACGACGGGGCGGCGATGGCCTGCAGCCGTCCGTGTCGGTTGCGCACGAGTGTCTTTGGCCGACGGGCGATGCCTTGCTCGGTGAGCTTCTGCAGCTGCTTCGCCTCCAGCGCTTGCTGCTGCATCTCCAGCACCCGCTGTGCTCGCTCCGCCGCCGTCAATTCCGGCCCCTTTGGTGCGGTGTGGTAGTACTCCTCCTCCTCCTGGTCCTCCTCTGTTTTCGCTGCCTTGTCAGCAGCATCAACGCCATTGCCCTTCTCCTTTTCTTCTACTGGCTCCTCCGCCTCTGGTGCCGCCGGTGGTGTAACAGAGGCCGTCTTCGCAGGAAGCCCCGGCGCATTCTCTGACATGACGCTGTTGCTGCTCACCTCCTTCGACGGCGTCGACTCGCTGTTCGCGTTGCTGCGTGACCGTCGCAGGTGCGAGGAGAAGGGATGGCCCCCAGCGCTGCTGCGCCGGCCGAGAGGGGACCGGCTGCCGCCGCCTGTCATGGAGCCGGACAGCGGGGCAGACGGCGGCCGCGGCGTACCACAAACGTCGTCGTCGTCGTCGTGTGTGTGAAGAGGATGCGCTGCGGCGTCCTGCGACTCCCACGGGTCGCGCGGGATGCCCTGCTCCGGCGGGACTTCCTGCGTCGGCGGCTTTCGCGATGCCACCTTCAGGTGCTGCCCTGGGGCTAGGTACTGCGGCTTGGGGCGCCGCCTGGCGACAACTGGCGGTGTCGCCGCGGTCGGCTTCGGTTGTGCGGACATGGCGGCACAGAAAGGATGGCGCGGTGTGTGAAACTCCTACCGTGAATGCCCTGCATACACCGAGACACGGACAAGAGGAAAAAGAAATGCTTTCCTTCACTGAGTAGGCGACATACATGATTATTTCATAGTGCGTGAAAAATAATTCAAAAGCCCCGAGGAGCGAGCAGGTGATGAGGAACGGGAGTCAGAATAATAGTCGCGATCCAGCGGAGAAGCGCGGTCCACATTAACTTCGCACACCGACGGAATCACAGGCCGATACACCCCACGTCCATGAAAAGAAAAAGAAAAACCGAAAAAACACGCCGGTGTCGCAGAAGTGCACCCGCACCAGCACACATTGCTCGACGGCCTCGCCATGTCCTGTTCCAGTTCTTTTCCTTTTCTTCTCTCTTCGAAGTGCAAGTGAAGCACAACGACACTGCACAATAGAGGAGGACAGCCATCTGTGAAAAGGGAAAAGCACGATCAAACCCACAACCAGAGCAGCGCAGGCATCAGTAGCAGCAGACAAAAAAAAAGGGACTTTTGCAGTATTGTCACCTTCGTTAACTCCCTCAAGATCCTTCATAGCGGCGGCTGTGCAGTAACTTGCGTGCCTGTGCGACCATCTCCGGTGTCACCTCTACCTTTGCCAGACGCTCGCTGCGCTCCGCGCGCGTCTCGTCGGACACGATCTTGTTGTCCGCGTTCACCATCAACCCACTCGCCGCGTCCCGGTACGAGTACGCCGTCACGCCGTCGTACACACCACTGGGGGCGCCCGGCACGTATGCCGGCTTAAACTCGCGCTGGTAAAACTTCTGCCGGTTCACCTCGATGTTCTCTAAAATTTCGTTCGCCTGATTCGACTGTTGACGGCCGATGATGAAGCAGGCGGCGCCGCACCCGATGGCCAGGGTGCCGCGCCACTCGAGCCACACCGTGCGCAGCAGCCCGCGTTCACCGTAGCGGGAGAGTACCTCTGGATTTTCAATGCCGAGCCACCACGCCTTGATGCGGGTAAAGAGGCTGACGTGGTGCACCAACCGCGGGTGCGCGAACTTCGGCGGCATTTCGTTATTTGCTTTCCCTCCTATCTTCGAGTATTTCTGCTATATCAGCAAACTGGATTAAAAGCTCGTTTCGTCCACTGTGAAGACGCGCCATCATGAGAAAGTTGAGGCGGGTTTGTGGGGTTGAACGAAAAAGAAGAGGAAGAGTGGGAAGGGAAAAGACCGAGAGAGTGCGCTTTGGAAAAAAAATAATTATGGAGAAACCCCAACGGTGAAAAGGAGCTCCTCTTCGCTTTCCCTGTCGAAGTCCAGGGCCGGCGATTGTGCTTCCAGCAGCATCAACACAGCACCACGCAAAACACCCCCGTGGCTCTAACGCAGCCGGAATCGGCACGCGCACAAGCCTCCGCTTTTACCGCTTGATGTTCAAGGCAACGTTTCTTCCAAACCGTACTGCACGGGTGGGCCGAAAGACTCCTCCTCCACCCATTCGAGGGGAAAAGACCTCTGTTGGTGACGAAACAACGATTCCGTCGGCGAAGGTGAGAACAGAAATATACTAAATAAGAACACAAAAACAAATAAAAATGAGAGGACAAAAATTAATTTGTCAAAAAAAACGCGTAAATGTAATACGACCGATGACATCAAGAGGAGGGAGAGAAAAAGAGATGCGAACGTATGAATATAAATATAAATATAAATATATATAAATATATATATAGATATATAGATATGAAACGGTGGTGAAGTCTTCGTGTCGGCTTCCCTCAACGGCACTGATAAAACAGAAACGGAAATAGTAGAAATAAATAAAACAAAAACAGCAAGACGTTTGGAAGGGAAGAAGAAAAAACAGTAAAAGTTCCGTCGGATTTTTTCTTCCTTTTGAGCACAAATGTGAGGAACAAAAAAAAACTGCGCGAACGAATTAGCCAGATCTTCTGCGAGTGTTCTTTTCCTTCTGCTATCCTTCTTCCTTCTTTCGTTGGTTTCCTCTTCATGGATAAGCACACTCTTCCATCCCACGCTTCCCACTTCAACTGATGGATCGAAGCGCACTGGTTCGCACAAAAGAGCGCTGCTGACTCTGTCCATCGACCTATTGCCCTCACACGTCATTTTTCTTTTTAATACTACCTCAGGAAGGGAATAACACGTTAGAGCGTCTCTTTGTGCATTTCCTCCCCTCCTTTCTTTCGCCTTCTGCCATTACCATACCTCTCCACCAAAATCCTGCAATTCGCATGCGGCGCATCGATATCTCCTGCGCGTCAAGAGTATTTTTTCCTTACTTTTCCTTTTACGGTACCGCTTCGCTTACCAGCACGCGAACGTCTTGAGGTGGGGGGGGGGGGGGATCGAACGGCTAAACAACAATAGTAAAGAAAAACAATACAGGTATAATTGCGCTCGTTATTCGCGTCTACAATTTCTTTCCTCCGTCTTTCCTAAAGCATCTTGACCAGCTCCACATCCACGACAACAGAAGAGAGAGAGAGAGAAGAACGAAGAAACAGCAGCCGCGTAACGGCGTCTTGGGGTTGCGTCGCGCTCCGGTGAAGAGCACGCACGTCACCTCAATCAAACGAACACGTCCGCTGCAGTGACTCGTACCGTTGCCTTCACCATGTTGAGCGTGGCATGGCTTTGTGAATCAGATCAAGTCCGAAGCTGATCATAACACCTCAAAGCTTGCTCTGCGTCTGCTTCGCCTTCTCCTGGTCATCGCGCTCCTTAAAGGCCATGCACAAGTCCACTTCCTGCCGGCTGCCGAGGTAGACGGGGGTGCGCTGGTGCAGGCGCGTCACGCTCACGTCCAGGACGCGCCCGTTGGCCCCCATCGCCTTGCCACCCGCCTGCTCCACCAAGAACGACATCGGCGCCGCCTCATACAAATAGCGGAGCTTGCCCTCCACCTTGTTCGCGTCCTTCGGGTAGCAGAAAATGCCGCCGTAGAGCAACGTGCGGTGGACATCCGCCACCATCGACCCGATGTAGCGCGCCGAGTAGAGCGTTGTCTTGTTCATCTTGAGGTACATGATGTAGTCCTGGAACCACTTATCCCACTTTCCGAAGTTGCCCTCGTTGACGCTGTAGATGCTGCGCTTCTTCGGGATGCTGATGTGGGGGTGCGTGAGAATGAACTCGCCTATGTTGGGGTCCAGCGTGAAGCCGTCCACGCCGCGGCCCGTTGTCATGACGAGGTTCGTCGCACTGCCGTACATGGCGTAGCCGGCGGAAACCATGTCGGTGCCTTTCAGCATCTTAATCACGCGGTTCGCGTCCTCGACCGTCTTGATCTGCGCACCCTCGGGCAGCCGCCACACGCCCCAGATCGACCCGACCGACACGTTGGCGTCGATGTTGCTGCTGCCGTCGAGGGGGTCGAAGAAGATCATGTAGTCGCCGCAGTGGCTGGGGTCGGCCAGAATCATCTGCTCCTCCTCCTCGCTGCCGAGCACGCAGACGCTGGTCGAGCTGAGGAGGTAGGCCTTAAATGCGGCATTCGAGATGACGTCGAGCTTCGCCTGGTGGTCGCCGGTGGCGTTGGAGGTGTTGCCCGCGATGTAGCCGAGAATGCCCTTCATACCGGCACGACGGATGTTCTTCTCGATCAGCTTCACGGCAGTCTGAATGGCCATCATCAAGAGCGTGAACTCGCCACGGCTGTTCTTTGGCTGGCTCTTGATGATGTACTGCGTCATCGTGACGGGAGTGTGGTGACGGCGGCCTTCCATTTCTGCTGATTGGGGATTCTTTTTCTTAGTAATGTCTGTTCAGTGTGTGTTCGTTTTAATAAAGAATGTATTTTTGGTGTGGTTGTTTTAGTTTGATAATTAACACGAGTGTGTGTGTGTGTGTGCGAGTGAAGGACGGCGTGAGGAAAAACGAGTAGCAAATTTCCTTCGCGGCTGTCCGACGTTGACGCAGCACGATTGTCGAAGTAAGTGGAATTAGAAAATGGTAAAGAGATGAACGAGAACGGGCTTTTGCGTTTGCGTGTTTCTTTGATTTGTGTACGATTTCTGATGATGTTGCGTAAATGCGTGAATGAGAGAGCGAGAGAGATAAAAACGGTAAAGAGGAAAAAAAGAATATTAAACAGTAAATAACGCGAATGCACGTGCCGAACAGAAGCCGAGGGGCCAAGCTGTGGGCGATGTAACCCCCACAAATAACGCGAATCAGTCCCGCACACAAGTTGCGTGCCCGTGTCAACACCACAAACGTACGCACGGAGAGACAAAACAAAACGAAAGAAAAACCAACGAAGAGGAAGGCGGAGAGCAAAAACAGTTCGAATTACTCGAGAGTCCGTAAAGCGCTGCAGGACAACAACCACAAAGCGAACCGCACGCACAGACACAGAATCCAAGCGTAGGAGGCCCCTCCTACACACGAGTCCGCATCGCTGCAGAACCGCACACGGTAGCTGGCACGCGTGCCCATACGCTGCCAAGCAAAACAAACCTTCACGACTCAAGTGGACGAGATGTCGTTGCTATGATTGCCCGAGTGCTTTTTTTTTTTTAATTTCAAAGAATACAGGAGAATGAACTTCAGCAGAACAACAATGATCACCACAACGATGCGGCGAGTGATTCGGAGGAGGAACTCCGACTACAAGGGAAAAAGCGTTTTTTTAAAAAGAAAGTCATTTGTCATTTAATAACGCGGCTCCTCTACGCCGCCTCTCTCCTGCGGGCGAAGACCGATTTGATGTGAAGTACCGCGTGTGAGTCCCAGTCCTCCTGTGTGGTGTGCACCTCCGCGAAGCCCTGACGCTCCAGCAGCTGCTCCACCTTGCGCACCCGATCCTCTACGTCGTGCACCTCCACCGCAATCTGTTCCACTCGCCGCCACTCCGCGTCCGTCACGCCCCTCAGCACCTCCCACTCCGCCCCCTCCACGTCCACCTTCACCAGAGCGATAGGGCCGCGCAGAACACGTCGACGCATCGCCTCGTCCGGCATGCGGGCGGCTGCACGAGCGAGCAGCTGCGCCAGCGGCACACACGCGCACCGCACCGTCGATTTCTGCAAAGGCCCGAGCAGGAGAAAACCCACAAACAGAACAAGAAAAGGCGAGAGAGCCGTCAGCACGAGCCACCGCAACACCGGCACACGCAGCAGCGAGCTGATTCGCAGGAACGGCGTCGCGGGCAGGCTCAGCGCACGGACGTTGTCGCGGAGAACGACGGAGAGCTGCCGACACACCGACGTGTCCTTCCACAGGCGTGTGATGTCCGCTTCAAACATCGATGCTCCGGCCGTGATGCGGGGGTCAACCACGAAGGCTACGTCGGACTGCGCAGACGCGGCGACACCGACCGGCTCAACCAAGACCCGCTGCCCGTACCGTGCGGTGTTCGACTCAGCCAACGCACGGAGATAGGGAATGGGCTCCGCGGCGACCACGAGCGCGTCGGGGTTGCGTTCCATCACGTACATGCTGAAAAGGCCGATGTTACAGCCGATGTCAAGAATGAGAGGACTGCCGGTGGCGGGGACGTGGATGCCGTGCTGCATGTATACCTCCGTCGCGAAGATCTCTCGTGCCACCACGGCGGTGCCCAAGTCCCCACCAAGCGCTTGGAAGCAAATTTTCTTGCTGTGTCCTGCGGCATCGGTGTACAGCGCGGAGTGCGGCACGGCCTGGCCTGTGTGCCACACGAAGCGATGAAGGAACACACACAGCACGCCATAGAGCACGGCGCAGGTGGCAACGATGATGGCAAGCATCACAATAGGAGCATACGGTTTTTCCTCCCCTTTCCTGCGCGCTCAGCGTCGCGGCCCTTTTTGCCTCTTATAAATTTATTTGTGAAATGATGTGGCAAAACGGCAGCGCTGCGTGTAAAACCAATAAGGATTGCACAGCGAAAAGAAAGAGGGGGTGGAAGCAGGACGTAGACGAGGAGGAGCGCCATCAGGCACAAACACTTTCGTTTTTTTGTTTTGCTTCGAATTGTATCGAGCGCGAAGATGCCGGGTACAGGCGCAGCTGATCCAACAAAACTCCGTCCCAACGTCTCCATCTTCTCCGCCTTTTCCCGCGGAATGAGTGCGACGCGGCTCGAAGTCGCAGGAAGAGAGACACGAATAGAGCGGACGTCTGCAGACGTCAATCTGCAGGCTTGCGGGGACGACGCCTGACAACGCTGTCGGTTGCATCTCGGAATGCACCTACATCAGCTTAAAAAAAAAAAATGGGGTCCTGAATTGATCTGTAAATGTATACGTTTATCATAGTTAGAGTGTAACACCACGCAGAACGAATAGGGGTGTGGAAAGGAGGACACAGTACACAGCTGTTGTGCCTACGCTGCCAAAGACTGCCGTCTCTTCTCTTCATATTTTTCTTGGGGAGCGAGAAACAACGAAGTAATCGAGGACTTACAAAGACCACAGCACGATTTTCGAATGACTTAAACTTCCGCTTTGAGTGCTCTTCCCCTGCGCTTTTCCTCTTCTTGTCCCTCCACGTCGCGCCGGACGAGGTGGCACCCTTCCTGTGGATCGCGCGGTGATCGCCAGTGCGCACCTCGAGGGCCCGCGGGTGGCGGAGAAGAGAAGGACCGTGAAGGGCTGAAAAAGAAAAAATGGGGAGGAGGGAGGTGGGCAGCGGGTGTCCCGCGAGGGCAAGAGGGATGGAAAGGTACTGAAGGCGCCGACGGCGAACACGGAGAGCGAAATACGGCCCGCATGCCGACAGGGAAACAACGGCGACAGCCACGCAACGCAACAACGTAATGGATGGAGAGAGGGGAACACACACACACACACACACAGAGGAGAAGATAGAAAATGGGAAAATCATGCGCGGGTGTGAACCGAGCGGTTTTACGTTCCGTTTTGCCCCGCCACAACTCCGCGCGCGCAGAGAGGGAGAAGAAAAGTTTTACACGCGGGCGTGCACCGCAGAAACAAAGCAAAGACATTCACACACACACACACACACACACGCACACGCACAGAGAACGCCGAAGTCGGCAACGTCACCGGCTCGACGGAGAAAAAGGAGCTCTACAAAAAGGGAGGCCATCACGACCACACATGCCAGTAAACAGGCAGCAACGGGAAAAGGAAACTAGCAATACAAGAAGAGAACCGAACACATCACCGAACAACTCGCTGACAGCACAGGCGACGCGCAGGGGAGGGTGGGGGATATAAAATCTACTCGCATTAAGAAGAGCACAAATAAAATGAAGCCAGGTGAGAATGGATACGTTGAAAGACCGGTGCGACAGCGTCGTCAGACCCTTCTTCACTTTCGGGTTCTCCTGACTTCCCGCTCTCACCGTCAGCAAAAAACAGAAACAACAGAAGACCGTCTTCTGTTCGTCGCTGCGAATGCGCTGGAAGAAGCGGGACACGGATTCAGCACGCGACGAAGAACACCAAAGGCAGCCGAAAGCGAAGAGAGGAGAATCCCCGCAGGAGAGGGAGTGCAGTAGTTGGAGGGGGAGGGGGGAGAAAGGAAGGAAAAAAAGAAGAGGTGGAGGGACGTCGTCCCCCCCCCCCCACCAAACGTAAATCTACGCGACGGTGCAACCAGATCAGATGAGCGGTGGAAAAACAAATAAAAAAAAAACAGAAAAGAGAACCGAAAAAGGGAGACACAACAACAACAACCGAAAAAACAGCAAAAACAACAATAATAATAGTAACTGACATCTTCATTTGCGCGACCGAGCCGCACACGTCGGGAGGAGCACCTGGAAAAACAGCAACTAAAACGTTCCGCATCAAGTTTCCAGCGCAAAGAAAGAAAAGAAAAGTAAAAGCTCCAAAAGGAGTCAGAGAACGGGTTCGTCCAACCCCCCCCCCCAACGAACGACGCGTACCTTTCATATAGAACGTTGTGACAATGAAAGACGAAGGGAGCGGGAAGGAACATCTGCATGAGTGCGTGCGTTGAACCTGTGTGATCTCTTTCTAGTTCTAGTTTAACCGTGCGTCCTCTGCTGCCCATACGTCAAAGAGACTGGAGCGGTGGCATACATAAACAAAGAAGAAAAGAGGGTTTTCGCGGCTCAGTGGTGGAATACGGGGAACGCGAGAAGAAGACCAAAACAAAGGACGGGAGACTGCTTTGAGGATTGCATTTTCATTTAATTAACGGTAGTAATCGCGAGGAAACAGAAGAAAAAAGATAATAATAGAAATACCTTCAATAGAAGTAAACAGAACAATAAAGCACTCAAATTCTCACTTATCTTCTTAGATTAACTGTCTTGCCCACTTTTTTTCGTGTGACGTTTTGAGATCTTTTCTTAAGGATGCGCAGCCAGAAAAAGAAAAACCGAAAAGAGCGACGTAGTCACAATAGGAGTGCTCCCACTACAGTCGCCGTTGCCGTGCACAAGGAAGAATTCGGCGGACACGCATTCAGCAAAGATTACAACAATATATATATATATATATATATATATGCTTATGTCCGATGAATTGAGGAGGTGCTGCTCCTACACACTTTTCGGATGCGAAACTTACGCACCGGTGCGCAACCAATACGGTGCATAGCGCATCCACAAATGGTAAGAAAGTAGACGTGGAAAATAGTTTGAAGCAAAAGGAAGAAGTGTGCGCTCAACGCGTCCACTTGTCAAGATCTGATCGGCAAAAAGCAAGGAACAAAAAAAGGTAAGCTACAGTCCAGTATGTGAGAAGGAGGAGTTTTCAAGCGGCTGCGTTTTCCTACTTTTCACTAGAGCACCCCCGCTCTTTTTCCGTGCCTGTGTTTTCTTTGAGGTGTGTTTTGTTACCTTCTTATGTCGAGGTGGTGTGCGTGTGTGAGTGCGTGCTCGGTTGGCCGTGGAAGGAGAACGAGGTCAGCAGACACATTCCTGACAGCTATTCTCCGTGTGCTGCGTCGCTACTGGGATGCGGCAGGAAAGATGACTCTTTAAAAAAAAAAAAAGCAAACCAAAACGATTATCAGCATTACCGCGGCGTATGCGTAGAGGCGGCATTTCCGTGCGACGACGACGCCCTCCACAAGCGGAACGACGCGGCATATATATACAACGGCGGCGAAGACTGTGTGTGTGAGAGAGAACAGAATACTATTCCCTTTTTTTCTTTTCACTAATGGGCGTGCACGTCTATTAACGGAGTTGGAAAAGAAAAGAAGAGGGGAAGGGATGCCGTCCATTTTCCCGCTGCCTTGTTCTTTCTTAATTCCTTACAGCTCTCAGTGAACGGCAGCGCAACGAAGAAGGCACCGGGGACGCGAAAACAAGAACAAATCAAATAAAACAAGAAATGCGAAATACTTCACCTCCTCCGCACGTACAACACTTTGATTTTGAGAGAAGATACACGAAAGATAACAAAAAGAAGGAGAAAGAAGAGTACAAAAGACAAGGTAGACAACAACAACGAGGAACAGCAGGTGTGCCAGCTCAACACGCGTGTCCATAACGAGCCACCTGGCTAAAGGTACTCGTAAAAAGCAACTTTGAAAAAAGGAGATATCCCAGTTCAGCGTCAACGAATCAAACAAAGATTGGCTCCACATACAAAACACACCACCGTTTCATACACAACGCACCGGCTGCATATTCGAAAGGAAGAAGCCGAGGTAACAAGAAAAGAGGGGATCTGCTACGCGGCGTGTTCACAGGCGTTGCGTCGCTCGGCTTCTTGGACCTTCGTTTGAAGAAGGAAGGCGCCTCACAGCGCGAATGGTGGGAAAAGTAAGAACAAACAAATGAATGCGGGTACGAGTGTTCAGGACGCCGTCCGCGCACACGCACACACAGTTCACCCTTCACGCCGGAGGAGGAGAGAGAAAGAATGAAATACATCCGGCATGTGACAACGCACGCAGCGTGACTGCATTTGGAAAACCATAGCAATAAAGAGCAAGGCTTTTCTTATAGAATAATAATAATTGTTTTCTCACATCTGACGCGAGGAAACCTCGACATTGCAGCGCGCGCGTGCATTACCCATCTGCCCCACATCAGAAAAGGTTTCTCGACCGCATTTTTCTCACCCTTTTTCTTTCGTTCTTCTGCCTGTTTGCTTCCATTGGTGGGGCGTACCTGTTTTCAGCCGGCAATTCCCTCCCTTCCTCTCGTTTAGCTCCAGCCCACGTACGGGTAGGCAGCCATTGGTGCCTGCATCATCACTGCATCCATATCCACCGCATTCCCCGGTGGGCGGTGCACGCCGTCATCATCGATGACGAGCGAGGTGGCCGGGTTGGTTGTCTTAATCTCGTCCATGCGCGAGAACTGAATGTCCAGCGTGAAGGTGACGGTGTCGCCCAGCGTGACGGGCTGCCCTTGGAGGATGTTCTTCACGTGTTCGGCCGATTCACGAGTGCCGAACTGCACCAGCGCCTGCACGCGGTTGTGGTTCCACTGGCTGCTTTCGTTCTTCGGCAGCACGACGATGCGCTCCACCGCGCCGTAGTTGGCAAAGATTTGGTACACAATCTCCGGCGTGATGTGCGCCGCCGCCGACACGTCGTACTGCGTGTTGAACATCGACACCAGCAGGGTGCGGCTGACGTGCTGCGTCGCGGTGAGCGTTTGGTGGTTGCTGTACCGGATGTATACACGGCGGCCGTCGATCTCCGCGTAGCCCGGCTCCTTGAAGAAGTCCACGAGCTGCTCGGCGCTCTTCGTGTTTTTCATCTCAATGAGGGCCTGGTTCATCTGACGCAGCATGACGATGTGTTTGATGTCACCAAAGTTCTGCGCCAAGTTCTGGATACTCAGCTGCGTCACCTCCGGCGTCACGTTGCGCAGGTGAATGACGGAGCTCGTCGTGCCGATCTCGTTGTTGCGTGGGTGCGGCTGCGTCTGCGGAGGCATGGCATGGTCGTGCGGTTCGTGCCCCTGCTGCGGCATCGGCGGTGGTGGCGGGGGCGGCGGCGGTGGCAGTTGCCTCGACATGTTCGGCGAGAAGGTACCGCGGTAGTCCGGGGCGCCGGTGTAGCCCGGCACCATCGGCGGCTGCACCATGCCTGGCACGTAGGGCATCATCCCGGGCTGGCCGTACACCTGGCCCGGCATGAACTGGTGACCATACATGTCGCTGCTAACGGAGGTATTAAACGCGCTCTCCTGCTATCAAACAACCACAACAAAAAGGCTCGTCTTTCTTTCAGATTCCTTTTCACAGCGCGCTTCGTTCCTCAAAACGTTCTTCGCTCACACACACACACACACGTCCTTCGTTAGCGCAGAGGCCAAAGACGGGAACACAGAAAAGAGAAGGTAGACGCACCCGCAGCTCGTAAGGGGGACGCGAAAAGGCACCAGAGGAGATTAGGAGAGCGGTGCGGTGAACGCAAAGGGCGGGGAAGGAGGCGGGAAAAACAAGAAAGATGAAATTTTAAAGAGCGTTGTTCTCGATTCCTGAAGATGTTCTGCACGTGGGCTTCGCTGCGCGTCTTTCGGGGAGTTAAGAATAATAACAATAATGCGAAGCGACAGAAAGAATGCGCTGAGGGAAGAAAAACACGAAAAATGCGACAATAGAATTAAAGCGGATGCACAGGAGGCATGTAACGGAGAGTATCGTTTGGCAAACTGTGGGTGGGCGGCGGTGAGAAGGAAATCAAAAAACAATGCAGACAAAGATAAAGATGTATACGAACGAGTACGGCGGGGGATGCAGCGGTCCGCACACGACAGGAGAGGGGTAGACAGGAGGGAGAAACAAAAACAAAAGTAGAGGAATTTGTGAGCTAAGTTATCCTGCGAACGATCAGCAGCAAAAATAAAACGGTGTCAATAAAAACAAAAAAAAGGAGGAGAAGGGAGAGAGGAAGGAAGAAAGAACCTGTAGAAGTTTTCAATCCAAACTGCGACAACGAGCGGCTCGAAGATGATGATGAGAGGGAGGGTAGCAAAAGAAAAGGAGAAACACACAACACTAATAATAATAACAGAAAAAAAACGCAGCTGATCTCGCCGTGAAAGATTCCGCAAATATCGACTGTTGCGGTGTGTGGTCCGAATATAAGTTCTGGCGATCTTGTTTTCCCCTGCGTGTCTGAGTGGTTTGTGCTGTATTACATCAACCAAAAAAAAAATGCGAAAGGCTTTGTATGGAGCTCACAGGAATGAAATACAAAAGGGCGAAGTCAACAGGTGCGAGTTAGAAAAAGAAAAAAAAAGGGGAGGAAGCAAAGCAAGCCCCACGTCTTATCGTCTTATTTAAAGTTGCTTCTGCGGCTTCCGTTGTAGTAGGTATCAAAGCGGTCAGCTTATACTTCTATTTACATACACTCTCTCTCTCTTTTTTTTTCTTTGCTTTTCTTTTTAAATTCTTCTACCTTCTGGTGTGCAGCTTTATTTTGACGCTCTTCTGTCCTTTGCTTAGCTTTACTTCGTCACTACTCGGCTTTCGCGGTCGCCGACGAGCGAAGAAGACACTAACAACAATTACGGAGGCACGCGGGAAACGGCGCAAGCAGCAGCGGGAATCGTCCGGTGTTCCTACCACAGCTGAAAAACACGTACTCAATCACACGTCCGATGGGTGCTGACAGCAGTACTAGCAACACCAAACAACTAAACAGTGAAGTAAACAAATAATAATAATAATAATAAAAAGAACAGTAATAGAAAAGAAAGTATAATAATCAATAAGTTAACGAGGGAGAGGGAGAGGATTTTTCTTCGGTTGGTAACAAAGGTTTGACCTTGGCAAAGCTCTAGGCGGGAGTAGAGGGAGTTGAAAGTCGTGGCGTTTCGCGATGTTGCGAGGGAAAAGGAGACAGAAATAGAAAGAAAGAAAGAGAGTAGAGCACGAGGCTGGGCTGAACGTACAGGCAAGGCTCGGAAGCTCAACAGCATTTGTTTCGCAACGAAGGAGTTTGGCTGTTCGATCTAGGAGCCTCGATTACTTGGATGCGAGTACGGCGGCCAGTGCAGAAAGCGGCAACGTCAGCAACTACGAATTGGACCACCGCCACCCCCTTCGTTTCAGCGACAGCATGTAACGCGTTTCTTTACTATTATTATTACTCGTCTTCGCTTTCTATGCGAAGCATCTATGTAGTCTCCACACTTCTGTAATCAGCAACACTGACGAAAGAAAAAATGGGAAAAATATTGAGCGAGTCATCTCGTACCACGCAACGCTGCATATTGCTGCGCTGGTGATATAGGTGAGTTTGCCCTCCGATCGCACCGTAGCTGGCACTCATCAATATATAGAATAATGATACTAAGAATAGAGAAGAGCATCCTCCTCACCGCCCATCTCAGTCGAACAAGTCGTGCTCTAGCTGCTGTATCCGCCGTGCGATGCTGCTCAGCCGTCGATCGCGCTGACGATCTGTGTAGGCGTTACCGACGGAGGCTCTACCGGCAGCCACGGCAAGGTTTTGTGTAACAGCCGGCGCGATATGCGGGGCACCACCGACGTGTCCGCTGCTTTGGGAGTAGGAGAGCGGGAGACAGGAAGAAAACCCAGTCGGCGGGGCAACAGATCGCTTCGGCTGCTGCGCCGGCGTGCGGTACATCGCGTAGCGGCCACCGGCCGGTGTGTGCCGGACTCCCGTAGCGTTGGCGGTGGAGCGCTGAGCAGCGGCCGACTTCGGCACCCACGTAGACGGGTGACCCACCGAGCTTGGAGCTGCAGAGCGCAACCGTGCAGAGGCGTTTGGTGGGGTGTGCGCACCAGCGTGGGCGACACCGCCGGCTTCTACAAACAGCGAGCGCAGATCGGACGGCTTCGCGTACACGCGGGCCTGTGCCGGCGGGACAGCGGGCGGCCTTTCGCCTTCGTTGCGGCTCCGCGCGTGCGCCGACTCGCTCCTGTGCGGGAGATAGGATACAGCGGCGGCAGTGTGCTGCGTCGGTGCAGTGCGGACTCGGCGCGGCGCGGCATCGATGTTGACGCCTTCGTTGACGGCGGACGGCCCAGCGGCGGGACATTCAAGTACAGCGGAGGAGACGGTCGTGAAGGCAGGCGGCGTTCGCGAAGCTGCCGGTAGCGGCGATGGTGACGACGACGATGGCAGCGGTGTTGCTGGCGAATTCGCTATGGCGACAGAGGGAAAGGCGGGTGCCGCAGGAAGGGGCAGTTGCGGCTGTGGTTCTGTGGGCAGGTGGGGGGTATTTGCCACTTCCCCCCCATCGCCGAGGTCCGTTGTCTCCGTCATGGCGGTGAACTGCGGATTGTAAGCGGGTGGGGGAGTGGTGGCCGTGGTCGTCTGCAGCCCGTTTGTGGGAGTTGGCCGCTGTTCGTATGTCGAAGCACCCCGTCCGCTCGGTTTCGTCTCGCCACTTTCCGCATCCAACACAGAGGAGCTCTGCACCGTCCACACATGCGATGCGGGCGACGAGGACGGCGCTTGTGAAGTCGGCTGCGGTGTTCGTCGCGGCAGCTCCGTCAGCCGCTGCTCAATCGCGGCTGTCCGCATCCGCATGGCCGCCGTCAGCGCCACCCCCTCCGCTGTCAGGGCCTCTGCCGTTTTCGTCTGTTCGTAGCGCTGAATGACATCCCTTGTTTCCTTGATCGCCTTATCCATGGCATCCGCGGACGCACTGACACCCATCAGCTCCGTGTTGAGGCGCTGCAGGTCGGACAGGGCCTCCTGCATGCCAATCTTCGGTGCCGCCGGGGTTTGGGTGGGCACGGAGGTGAGCGACGGCGTGGCAGCCGGCGCAGCCCACGACACGCCGACACTTGACCGTGCCACCGGTGCTGCAACCGATGCGGGTGTGGGAACAGAAGTAGGGGTCTGCAGTGGTGGCGTCGGCATCTCTCCACTCACCCGTGCCGCCGCCAGCTGAATCTCGAGCAGTTGGTGATTGAGGCCCATCAGCTCGTTGCGCTGCTTGACGGTGTCGCGCACGAGCTGCGACTGCTCCACCGGCGTCAACCCGCGCAGCTGCTGGGACGCTGCGGTGAGACTGCGGATGCTCTCCACCACGCGCCGGTAGAAGCCCTCGTTTTCTGCCTGCCGAGTCTGCATCAGCGCCTCGGCCTTGCGGATGAAATCCTCCTGCTGCAGAACGAGCCGCGATACACCCGGGCAATCCGCTGGTCCTTCCTCCGCCGCCGTCGTCACCCGAACGTCGGCTGGCGATGGCGCATCCGGCAGAGGGGTTGTTGCTGCTGCGGCGGATTCCGTCTGCCCTACGGCTGGCCCGGCCTGGCGGGCGAGAAGGCCGTCGGTGTAGCGGTGGAAGTCCGCCAACTGAGAGGGATTCAGCACGCCGGCGGGTGCGGCTGGCGGAGGCACTGGAACGGGCAGAGGTGTCGGTGCACCTTGCCGTGCAGCCTCGAGCATCGGAGGGGCCTCAGAGTGCCGCTGCTGCTGCTGCTGTTGCACAGGAGCAGACGGGTTCTGCAGCGTTGAGAGGTCGACGGCGGGCGGCGCAGGACCCGCAGGAACACGAGCGGCCTGCGGGTACGGCGGTGCCATCGTGCCGGTGACTTCGGGAGACGCGGCACCTTGCGGGGAGCTCCCCTGCTGAGGCAGCCGCAGCAACGCCGGAGGTGCCACAAAAACGCTGCCGGGGGGCACCGCCGGTGCAGCGAGCGGCGCCGCGCTGCCGAGGAGGACACCGCGAGACGTATCGGCCCGGTGCAGCGCGCGGACATCACCGCCGTCCGCCGCCTCCACGCGCTCACCGTGCAGGGTGTAGAGGTGCACACGCGATGGCCCTTGCGGTGCTGTAGAGGAAGTGGGCAGCCGCAGCAGTGTGACCTGACGGGGACCTCTTTCATCTGCAGCGGCGGCGGTGGAGGCGGCGATGGGAGGCCGGCCCTGAGAAGATGTGCGGGCTGTCTGCGCGAAGGACCGCGAAGGCTCCTCGGGAGGCTGCAGACGCGTGGTGAAGGACAACAGTGTCGGTCGTGCGGTTGCAGGCGCCCGTGTCGGTGGTGGCCGCAGCGGCGCCACCTCCGTTTCCAGCGGAAAGTCCTTCCACTTCAACGAAAACGCCATCTCATCGTCCGACGTGCTCTTCTCCTTTCTCCTGCTGCAGCTTTGATGACGGTTGTGGCGGTACGCTGCACGGTGGCAGCAATGGCATTTCTTCTTCCTGTGGCATCGTGAAAGTGGAGGCGACCGCAAAGAAGCGCCGCGGCGACGATCGCAGCAAAGCGTGCGTGACTCATCGGCACGGCTACTGTCGCTGTCGTTGCTGCTGCTGTTGCTGCCCACCGTCCTTCTTCGGTCCTTGCAGGGTCTGCCGCGCCTCCTCCCGAATTCGTCCAGCGCCGCGATCGGGTCAGCATAGTTGCTGGTGGACGTCGTGTACGAGGTGGCCGTGTCGGAGCTCTCGCCGTTGTCTTCACCCGCTGTAGTGTTGATGGCTGTCGTGTCTTTCACCTCCGCCGATGGTGTCAGTGTGCCCGGCGCATGCGGCGACGCGCGGCTGGTGGAGGCGGGCAATCCAACGGAGTCCCACCACGCGACATCCGCAGGGCCGTACAGGCCGGGGTGCGCTGCAGCCTCCTCGATCCGGTCCCTGGGCGGTACGGGAGAGTTGATCCCTGTCGGCGCTAGAAATGCTGGTGCGACAGCATGGGTTGGCGAGGCAGCAGTGCTGGTCATCACCACTGCGCTGGCGGCCGTGGGCATTGCGTTCGCTGCTGCGGTGGTTGCCGTTGCCGCCGTTGGCGTCTCTGCTGGCGATGTTGGTCGTGGCTGCCGCTGCACGGCACTAGCCACATCAGCATTCGCCGTGCTCGCTGCGGTGGAGTGCGTCGGGAGGGCGTGCACCCGAACCGGTGGGCGCAGCCGACACAAATGCGCAAACAGTGGACTCGCCATCTCCATTGACAGCGATGGGGCCGCAGCGTCGTCGTTGTTGGCGGGCGCGGCGAGCTGTGCAACGCGTGCTGCGACTCGTTCACAGGCGGCGAGGAGCGACACCGGCATTCGCTCCAGCGTCCAGAGCACCTCCGTCCACTCGTGCGAAAAGAGGTAGCGCTGCTCCGGCACCGCGTGAGGGCTTGTCCACCGCGGCAATGACGGGTCACGCGTGGCGGAAAATACGAAGTGCACCGTGGTGGCGGAGGGGGCCGATCGGCCGGAGCCCGACACCTCCTCCAGCAGCGTCAGCGCCGTCACGGCGGACTCGGCAGCGGCGATCGCCCTCTGCGCTCCTTCGCTGGCCTCATTGGTGACCTCCGCGTTGGGCTGCGGCGCGTTCGCGGCCTGCAGCGCGTCAAGGACTCTGTAGAATTCCTTCTTGAGACGCGCGTTGCCTGTCTGGCGGACGTTCGACAACTGTAGCAGTCGCACAAGATACGGCGTCCACGTCGGCTGCGGCGCGGTGTCCGCCACGTGCTGAACGAGGGACACAAAGCTGCGCTGAAACCACTCCAGTGGCAACGGTGACTCACGCACGAGGTACAAAGCCTGCAACGCTTCCGTGCAACGCTCGCTGCGTACTCCCCCAACGCCGTCCATCACCTGCTGCTGTTGCTGCGCTCCCTCCTCCATGACGCCTTCCGCATCGCAGCAGAATTGCACCAGGCAAAGTAGCCGGAAGCACACCACGAGAGTACGCGACACGACGGTGCCCCGTGCCGCCTGCGCCGCTGGAGACGGTGCGAGAGAGTTGCGGATGGACATGCGATAGCTCGTGGCGACGTCCCGCACCGAATACGGCGAGAGCGTGCCCATGTGGGCCCAGAGGGCGTAGGTCTGCGTCAGTGCAGCGTGAAGACGTTTCTTGCCGACCTGCACGGCCTGCCAGCCGCCCTCTCGATGAGAGTCCGTCTTTCCCAGTACGTACTTCGCCACGGCCGCGGCGTAGTTGTGCACCGCGGCGACGAGGTGCTCGGTTTGGTGGAACACACAGGCGACGAGGGCCGCGGTGCAGAACTCCTCCGGTAGCGTCACCGCGAGCACGCGGAAGAACGCAATGTTGAACGTGCGCTGCGGGGCGTAGAGGACGTACACGAGCGTCGTCGAGAGAGACCTGCCGCTGCTGCGCTCGTCGATCAGCAACGCCGTTGCCTGCTCTTCCACGCCGCGCGACAGCGCCACCGTGCACGCCTCAATCCAGGCGGTGTTGTTGGCGAGGGGCGACACATCCTCGACGGCGCTGCGCAGCACCGGCGCGAAGAGCTGCACAAAAGCAGTAAGGCAGTGCTGGCGTGTGCCGATGGCTAAGGAGAGCAGCGCCACATCTGGCCGGAAGGAGGCGTCCGCGGTGGACACGCACAGGAGATCAGCCGCCAGCGTCAGGGCCTTCTCGAACTCGTCCTGCGTCTGAAATGTGCAGGGCGGCACGCCCACACACGTCGTACCCGGTGCGGCCGTCGTCGCCGTCTTGTCCTCATTTTCCGGTGCCACCGTCGGCTGCATACACACCCGCAGCTCGCGTCCCTCTTGCGCACACGCAAACACGTTCAGATCTAAACAGGAGGCGAGCAGCACGCAACCCATGCAGTGGACGCACTCCGCCTTTCCGAGGGGCGCGGACACCACACAGGCGCCGTTGGACAGGGTGCTCGTGTGCACCATGCGCCGCGCGATCTCCTCCGCCAGGTCGATGGGCGACACGCCCTCCGCGAGACCGTCCAGGACGTAATGAACTTCAAGAGGGAGGTGTGTGGGCTGCGCCGTCAGGACCTGCGCGGCCTCGTCGGATACCACGGCGCGTACGGCGTCCCCCACCACCTTCATCCCCTCCTGGGAGGCGAACTCGCTGTTGCGGTACGCGTCCGCCAGCTGCAGGAAGAACGCATCAGTGTAGAGCACCCCGTTCTCTTTGCTGCGCCTGGCGAGGGTTTCCTGCACGACCGACGTCAAAGACCACAGGTAGTTCCACTCCGACTGCAAGTTTGGTTCCGTCATGCGCAGCAGCTCCTCGTAGACGCGCTGCACCAGCATCACCTCCTGCTGCGCAGTGCCGACGTCGCGGAGAAAAGGTACGACCTCACGAAAGACGACGTCTGGCATGTCGTGGCGGGTAGTGCGCAACGACAGTTCCTTCAGCTTTGCGAGGCACTGCCGCAGGGCAGCCGCGCCATCGCCGCCGTCTTCCCCGCCAACTCCATTTTCGGAGGCAAAGGGATCGGTGGCATCGGCCGCTATCATGTCCTTGGTCACGGCAGGTGCGGTGGGCGCCAGCGATGCCGTAGACACGTGGAAGAAGACACCGACAACGCCGTTCGTGCACATCACTTCCGTACCGCCACGCACGGCGATGAGACGAGCGGCGTCCGTCGCAGCGTCCAACGCGCTGGCGAAGGCCGCCTGCCTCTTCGACGGCCGTAACTGCGGCGGGAACGGAAACGTCACGACGGTGGAGAGGAGGTTGTTGATGCGGAGCGCCACCGCCGCGGGCTTCCCAAAGTGCTCGCACGCGTACAGCTTCATGTCGCGACAGAGAAGCAGCGACAGCGTCGTCCCAGCGCGGCGCAGAGGGTGAGTGGGAACTCGCAGACTGCACACACTAATGGGGTGCTGTAACTCTGGTACGACGTTGGCGGAGGAAACCAACCGACCACCACCACCACGCGCGTACGACGCGTGGACGACGTAGCTCGACACCTGGCCGACGACGACAATGGTGTACACCGGCACCGACTTGTCCTCCACCACACTGAGGCAGCGGTAAGGCGTGACTTCCTCGCCTGCGGTACGCGGAAAAGCGTGGCTTTGATAGCAGCGCACCGTCACGGGCTTGCTGGCGCGAGTGGGAAAAATGCTCTCGTGCACAACGGCGCATACGACGCGTGGCGGGGAGGGCGAGGCCGCAGGAAAGGCAGCACCACCGCTGCCATCCGCAGCAGCGACCGCATCTGCTGTGGAGACGCGCTCAAAGGCGGAGAGCGCGAGAGAAACATTCGGCGCAACAGTCGCGGCGTAAGGGTCGGCGGGTGCCTCGACGTCGCACCGCACAAAGCGCACCTCTGCACCAGTGGCTGAGATGAAGACACAAAACGTGGACCCGGCATCCGCCATGCCGGTACGCAGCTTCGATTTGCGCCAAACGTTCGCCTCAAGGTCGCCTACAATTCCGTAGAGGTCGCCCCCGTCTACTGAAATGACAGCGGCGACAACGAAGCCGCGTGTGGTGTGGCGCAACGTGGCCTGATGCACCACAAAGCAGGCACCCTTCTTGGCGCGTTGTCTTCGCATCTTTCGCTCTTCCTCCGGTGCAATATCATTAATTAGCGCCTCCACCTCCACCGCGTAATTCCGAGGGCTTCCGAGAAGTTTCTCCACATCGCCTTTTGCATGCTCGATCAGCGCAAACGCCAAGTCTCCGCCGCTGTGTTGGGTGTAAAAGAAACCAAGTACGGCGCCCTCGGTGCACACATGCAGCACGCTGTGAAACGCTTTAGGGGCCTTCTGAAAGTCGCGGTGGCCCTTCCAGCTGAGCCACAGAGTGAGTTCTTGCTTGGGCTGCTTGATGCACGCCAACGCAATGGGCGTCGCGATGCCGTCCATTGCGGGAGCCGGCTGCGTGGCCTCCGTCAGCAAAAGCGGGGCCACGACATCGACGTAACCAAGTTTGCCTGGTCTCCAACACACCGTATTGGACGAGCTCAGTTCAAGGAAAGGCATCATGACGACGACGAAGAAAAGAATACTTGTGCGGGTGTGTTTTCTATCAATACATGAAACGCAAAGCGGGTGTTGTATAACGATCGATCATGTGTGCAATAACTTCTAAGGCGGGTAGGTTGATTCTATGTTTTATGGTGTAGTGGGTTTTTTAAAGTGAAGGCGACAGCGAAGTGTCACTCGCGTGTTATGCGTGGACTGCTCTACGGCTTCGAATGCCACTTCCCTCCGCTGAGCTGGCCACAAAGTCAATGTCTCTGACCACAAGAAGCAACATAAAAGGCGATAAAACTCAAAAACAAAATTAGAAGGCACGAGATGAGAAGAAAAACAAAAATGCAGTTCAGGTGCGAAGCAGCAATGAGCATTAGTTGGTACAGAAACGACACTCGAGCCGCCTCCTGAAGTCCGACCAGAGAGCGTCCTTGAAAAGGGGCGATGAAAATGCGGCTCGAGTTATCTTTCCTCCTTCGTTGAAGAAGGTGACTTAGACTTGGTGGCACTTCGTTCCGTTGGGTGGAAATCAACGTCAGCACCATTGCACTGTTTGGGGTTTGTATTCGTGGCGTTGGTAGTTTTGCTCAAGTGTGAGAATGTGTGGGGGAGTTAGTGAGAGCGCAGCTGGGCATCCAGCGAAACGCACGTCGGTGGCGAGGGACGCGTACACCACTCACCACCACACATCAGAAGGCACAGCGTAAAAGCAGCCGAGCTCGAACAGTTCCTCCAGCTTTTGAAACCACCAGCAAAAAGACAGCAACAACAGAAGAGACAGAGCCGACAGCAACACTTTTCGTTTCTGGTAAACGTTGATGGCAAAAATAACCCAAAACGCTACGCATGAGGGCCGCCGTTTCTCACCCATTCAGCAACGTCTTGTGAGGACAAGTTCGGTGTGAGCACTAACTTGAGACGCATCTTCAGCAACGTCGCCCCGATATTCTTCGGCTCAATCCCGTACGTCTTCTGCAGCTCCTTTCCGTTGATCGGCAGCTTCAACTGGAAGGCGCTGAGCAGCGTCGGGTGATCGACAACGTTCTTCCACAACCCGGCAAGCTCCCTTGCAACTTGGGCTGGCGTGTCGCTCCCTCCTGCAACGGCCTTCGATCCCTCCAAGAGCGAGCAGGCCAACAGCACCACCTGCAACGCGTCTGGAAACACGTGTCCATCGTTGAGGAGATAAAGGGCATCGAACAGCTTCTTCAGCGTCTCCGGTGCCAGCGGGGAGGCGGACAGCTCCACCGTGGTGAAGGACTGAGTGCAGAGCGTGTTGTAGGCGTCGATCATACGCCGCACACAGTCGCAGCTTGCCACAGGCAACTTTAGCCCGTTGATGCACACGTTGCGCACCGTCTCCTCCATCTCTCCCCCTGCGTCGCAGAGGAACGGCACAAGAAGGCAGAAAAGTGCCGCCTCCACGCGTTGGTCCTCCCGCAGCGAGGCCGTCACCCCTAGATGAACCAGCGTGGGGAGGCCAACGGTGCTCAGCAGCATCGCCGCATTCAGCCTGGCCGCCCCGTCAGCGAACACGTCCACCAGTTTGTCCATCCGCTCCACGTCGCTCGAAAGCTGTTTCTTGCCTGGCTGCGCCTTCATGACGACACTCACCAACAGAACGTGCTGCAGGATCTGCATGCTGTGCAGCAGCTCGATGCAGCGCTCGGGGTGTGCGGCAGCCATCATCTTCACAAACTCCTTTCCAATGCGCTCGCGCGAGACTTTTTGCAGCAGCACCTGCAGAAGGGCTTCATCGACGCTCTCCGTCACGGACGGGTCAAGCGAAAAGTTGAGGGCCCCGAGCTGGCCCACGAAGCGGACCCCACGCAGCAGGCGGAGAGGGTCGTCGTTGAAGGTGGTGCGCGGCTCCAGCGGGCAGCGAATCACCCGCCGTCGCAGGTCGTCAAGGCCGGTGGTGTAATCCTCCACCATGCCGGTGTGCAGGTTGTAGAAGAGGGCGTTGATGGTAAAGTCGCGGCGCAGCGCGTCTTCCAGCGGGGTGCCGGGCCGCACCTGCGGGATGCGCGAGGCGTCCGTGTAGACGTCCGTGCGCAGGCCACAGAACTCGACGGGTATCTCGTGCACGCGCACCGTGGCGGTCTCGATGTGCTTCGACATGGCCGGGTTGGCTCGGATCACGCTGACGGTGTGCGCGCGGTCGCCGTGGGCCTGCTGGTACTCGGCGATGCGGCGTGCGAAGACTTCGCCGCTGACCGGCTCAACGTTGACGGGGGTCTCGATGGCGATGTCGATGTCGTTGGAGTGCAAGCCCAACAGCGCGTCCCGCACCCACCCTCCCGCTACGCGCAGCGTCGTCTTCAACTCGTACTCCCTGTCCACGTTCAGCAGACACGCAAATACGTTTTGGTGGGCTGTGGAAATGGCCGCCTCCAGTCTCACAACACGTGGAATCATCATTGCAGAGTACTATGATTTCTTTTTGAGAGGGAGTCGTAGCAACCCGAGACGGAGGGACAATAAATATAGTTCCCTGATCTCTCAACACCGTGAGCGAAGTTGTTAGGGCGAGAACAGAGGTTGATTCACCAGTACATACCGGTTACACACATCAACATCAACATCAGCAACGCAGTAACGAGAAGAAAAAGAAGGAAGGAAGGAACAGTGCATTTCAAAAGCGGTTTCACCTCCGCTCTCTCCACCTCTCTCTCTCCTACGCGCGTCTTACATGGAGTGACAACACCAGACATACAGGTGCCGTCGCGGATCACCTTGGGCCAGTCAACGCCGAAGACAACGCACTGACAGCCGGCACACGCAGCATAGAAAAGGAAAAGAAAAATGTACTTCCGCTTACTCTTTCGACATGAGGAACTCCTTCCTGTTTCCTTCACGAGGGCTCATTAGACCGTAATAGAAGAAGAGCAAAGAACGCACCCGAAGCGCTGGCAGGATGGGGAAAAAAAAACAGTAGTTTACAGACGTTCCGAGGCACGCTATTGTACTTTACATCGAGACACAGACGCAAACGACAGACAACAACAAAGGAAATCGTTCCAAATAAAAAAAGGCCTTCGTATTGGGAACTTAGCCAACACATTGAAATCAACGCATCAGCCAGTGGCCAGAAGGAGAGTGCGGCTCCTTTCAGCTGACCCGCACCGGAGTCCGCACGCTTCGGTTCGTCTCCAGCGCATTCAGCAGTCGTACCCGCCATCCCACTGGAATTTTTGTATTTTCAAACACAATGTCTTTGATGTTGCGATTTTCCGTCAGGAGCCTCCCGAGGGCGACGGCGGCGCCTTCGCTAATGAAGTTGTCGGACAAGTCAATGAACTCCAATTGCGAGAGCTGGGCCGCACTCGTGCACAGCAGCTCCACGCCGTGGTTGCGTAGTCCATTCTCGGACAAGATCAGGGCACGCACACTGGGCATCCGCTGCAGCGTGGAAAGAATGGGAGCGATGCCTTTGTCGCCGACGTAGTTGCGGCTGAGATCCAACGTGGCTTTGCCGTAGTCCACGCCGCCCTTCTCAGGCAAGAGACTCAGGAAGGCGCTATTGGGTCGCAAACCCATTTCTGCACAAAAGCGCAGGTACACCTCCTGCAGCGACGGCGCGCGCGACTTCGCGTAGGTCGCTGCGGGTCTGTGTACGCTTTTGTTGCTCGACGACCGCACAGGACGCTTCGGTGGCATCGGAAACGTGCAAACGACTATCTGCTCCCTACGTACAAGCACACCTCAAAGCGGGTGCAGACGGTTAAATTCGTTGCTTACCTGGGCCTCCCACTTTTGCGACGGGTGTTGCAGCAGCGTGAAATCACAACCAGTGGCTTCGCTTATGATTGTCGTAGTTGTATTTGCCGTTTCTCACGCTGAATCGAACACGGCGAGAACACGTTCGGCAGTGCACGAGGATGTGAAAGGCTACAAAATGTAAAGAAAGGGGGAGGGGGTGGAGAGAACTAAAAGCAGACCGAATAGACCTGAAACTATCGCTCCTTCACTGGTCATGCGAATAAAGCAGAGGATACGGCAACGACTGCGGCGCAAACGGTAGCACAAGGCCTATTCAGCTTCATCTTTCTTCCCTCTCAGAGTTTTCCGGTGGTCTACTCGAGCGCAACCAGAAAAAGGCGCCTCTCAAACTTCTTTCATTTCTTACTTTCAGACGTGGTGAATAGGTAAAACAGAAGTAATGCTACGCTACGCAAATGGGAGAAAGACTAGAAAACAACCAAAAAAGAAAATGTAGACGAGGAAAAGAACGCAGAAAGGTCCTGAATAATCTTCACCTGTCACAGCGCTTTCTCGTTGACGCATCCTCCCTTTCTTTTTACGGAAAGATAAAGACGCCTTACCTACACTGATCAATCGCTATTCATCTTTAAGCACACTTTCTTTGGTGTCGGTGTGCTACACAAAGAGAGAAGCGTACAGACCGGTAACTGCTTCGGCACCTGGCCCACCTTTTCGGTTCTCAAGACGGATCAGGAGGGTGTGGCGGCTCACCGGACGACACCTTCATTCTCTTTCTTGTTTCGCTCCTCGATACAAATCGTCGTCACCTAAAAGTTCCACCACTTCGTCGGGCACGTGCCTTTGGTGATGGCGCCATCAGCAGTAATGGTGGTCTGCACACGACGCTGGCCAGAGACAAAGGAGAAGAGTGCCAAGACGCACCCAGCGCCGCAGAAGGCAGCGAGACCGTAGACGTGCTGGATGGCGTTTTGACGAGTCCTGTCCCCACGGCCAAACGTGGTGGCCTCGTGACCCATTGGCTCCTTGATGAGCTGATGGCCTAAACGGCGAGCGCTATGACGGTACATTTCTACCTCTAATGCTATGTGGAGAGCGGCGTTGAGCGGCAGAGTATTTACCACAGTTGAAATACGAGAAAAGGCTTCTTCTTTTTTTGACGTGCCAAAGCAGTTGATTGCACGCGCGAGTGCGGGGCAACGCGTTGACAGACGGAGCAAGAAGATAGCGAAGAGAGGAAAATAAGAGGGGAGGGGGAAAGAAAAGGAAAGGTGGTATGACAGAAGCTGGTACGATTCACGGAGAGCGACCTTCGCTCTTCAGCAGCGGCAAATGCCTCTCACAGCAAATAGATGTTATTGATCTTGGCAGTTTCAAAATCAGTCTCAACTTTTCAACCGCGCAGTAACAATCAAGCAACGAATGATTCAACTTCTGTGCGGTGTAGCTATCCCTCCAGGTAGAGAGAGATAGCGGCTCGGCACAAAGAAGAAAAAGAGAACAGAAGGGGGAAGGAGCGAAGAGGCGACGTCACTTCGAAGTAACGCTTCTTAAGTCCAAATCTTTCCGTTTTCTCCTCCCCCTTTTGGACCCAGCTCATGTAGAGACTACGTTTGCATGTATTATTTCCGTTGTTGACTGTTGTATCGTTCTTAAGTGCATACGCAGAACACCACATATCAGAACAGTTTAAAAAGAAATGGGGAACAACGCACACCGCAATTCGTTTGTATGGAAAAGCGTAAAGCGAGACCCGACAAGTACCAATGGTGGAGCATCAACGGGAAGAATTCTCCTTGCTTTCTGTTGGTCTTTTAGAGATGAAGAAAACAGAAGAAGTCACCAACACTATTCTTCTTGACATTAAGAAAACAAGGACATTGTTATTTCTTTCCATTTCAGAGCAGCAAAAATACAATGCACTTCCTACGTGTATAGAAGGTAAGAAAGCGCTTCGGGTGTAAAAAAAGAAAACATGAAGAGAGGGATATGACTTAGATATATATGTATAAAGCTGGGGAATGCTGTATGGTACTTTCCTCGTCCTGTCTTGACCAAACAGAATATACGAAACAAAACGCAGGCGATAAACACACACGGCAAACAACCACAAACAAAACAAAAAGAAAAGAGATCAGAAAAGGGGAGAATAAAACGATTCTTTTCCTTTTCCCGTTAAATTACATGTGCCTGCCACCCCCTCTTCAGCGTCTCTCGTTTTGAGGTTAAGTTGTGTTGAGGTGCAGGTGCGTTGTACCGCCTGGTCCTGTTTTGAAAGGTCTAGAAGGTGCGTGTATGTGTGCGCTTTGCTTGCAGTTATACCACGTATAGAAAAGAAAAGACGTTGCGCCGCCGGTGCTCGCACGTACGCGCTCACGTACACACGCGCGCCAACGCACTGTGTCCGCCATCTGCTACGGAACGAAAACACAAACGAAAGCAAAACTGATTGTTTAAGATAGAAAAGAAAAGAAAGGTGAACGCTGGCATAATAATAATGTTTCAAAATATAAGAATATAAACCACGCGTGCATGTATTCGTTCCATCAAACTGACATTAGAGTACAAAAGAGAGAGAGAAATATATCGTTGAAATCGACGTGTTCTCATGTTCCGCCGTCACGAGCGTTGACGACAAGAAAGAGGGGAGAAGGAGCGTGGGAAACGCGAACGATGACTCTCACCACAGATGTGTCTGGGCCGTCTCACGGCTCCGGGCCACGACAGTAATAAAGCTGTCCCTCTTTCGATCAGACGGCGCAACAGCGGTAGTGTGTAAAACAACGAGAGAGAACACTACCTTCTCCAGCCGTTACTCCAACTTATCAGCACACACACACACACACACAGAGAAAGAAGAAAAAAAAGATGAGAAAAAAATATTACCGCGATGCGTACGAGAAGCAGTCGCAATTAAGCAAAGGTGTAAAAATAGTTCATCAACATGCTGACATAATGGCAAGTCAAAGGGGAAAACGCAAGGCTCCAGTCTGCAACCTCTGAACAGGTGGATAAAGAAAAAAAAAACAGAAATGAAAAGTAATCACAACGTGCTGACGGTGCCGTTTTCTCTCACAAATATAAAGTGAAGAGTGTGATAAACACCACGCATGATGCTAATATGTCATATGTATGAAATACACCTGTCTTTGGGTGAAACCTGCGTAGATTTTAGGAGAAAAAGTAGCGTCTTCGGGCGTTGTCCTTTTAGAGAAGACCGCCAAACGAACGGTTCTGCTTTGTATACGTTTTGAGTCCCACATACTATCGCAGACTTGATGCCAGAGAGGTCGGGCCTCGTCCATACATCCCGCTGTTGTGCTCAGGATCAAGCGGCAACACAACTCCTGTTAGTGCTTTAGAATGTCAAATAAACGAATTTTATTGAAGCAAAGTAAAAGGGAAGAATCAACAATGTTCAAGGAGAGAGGAGAAACAAGGTATAGGGAACATGTTTCTCTTGTGTATAACAGAACGTTTTAGAGGGGGGACGACAAAAAAATGTGATAAGACAGGAAACCCACAAACCTACATACATTACGGGGTGAAGAAGAAAAAAAAAACAGTGCAATCGTAAGATAAAAGAAAGCAAGAAGACTCGAAAACACGTCTCCATTTTTGGCATTAAATACAAGGGAAAGTAAAAAATAAGAAACAAACAAGAACGAAACGACACAAAAAATAGTGCCCACCACCCGCAGCTACAATTGAATTCGCTGACGAAACACATCGTGCGTGTCGCAGAGCTAACGATTCAGGGAACAAGGAAAAGGAAGAAATGTATTAGCAGAGAGAAGAGAAGCGCTCGGCACACACAACCTTTCCACTTCAGCAGCGGTGACGCCCAGTCGTCTCACGTGTCGCCGTCGCCAACGCTGAAAATGTTCTCGGGCGGTTTGCTGCTGCCGAATCCGGAGAAGATGCCCTTTCCGGCTGCATCGCTGAGGAGGTTCGGCGGGTTTGCCGCAGTCGCGTTGGCCGGAGCGATCTCGTCGCGAGGAGAGGTCGTTGGGGGCGAAGGCTTGCTGCTGGCGGTGGTGTTCCAGTCGAAGACGTAGTCCATGCTCTCCCGCGGGCTCATCGTGTCGAGCACCGACTGTAGGAGGGCGTGGCACATGTCGTACTGCGGCGTCTCGGAGAACTCCATCTTGCGTGCGTAGAACAGAAGATGCTCAAACTCCTGCGGGCACTTGGCGCATATTTGGCCGTAGCTCAAGTCAGCCTTGATCTGGCCAATCTTACGCTCCTTCTCCGCGAGATCCTTGATGTTGAGGCCGGACCAGGGAAGGCGGCCGCGGTACATGTAGATCATGATGTACACCAGCTGCTCCAAGTCGTCGCGGCGACTCTGCGAGTAGCCCTTGTGGGTGCGCAGGGAGGCGAAACGCGAAGTGCCGAGGAAGTACTTGCCTGAGGAGATTTCGCGGTGCTTGCCGTCCGAGCCCATGTACTTGAAGCTCAGACCGAAGTCGATCATGAAGATGCGATTCGAGAAGGAGCCTTTGCCGACCAGGAAGTTGTCCGTCTTCAGGTCGCGGTGCACGTACCCCACGGAGTGAATGTACTCGAGACGCGACAGAATTTGGTCCGCCAGCATCACTGTCGTCTTGAGGGAGAAGCGACCGAGTTTCTCGTGGAGGTCCTCCAGCGAGGCGCCGTGAAGGGACATGATCAGCACGCGGTAGTCGCCCTCCTGCCCGAAGTACTTGAGCGTGGCGATGCCGGAAACGCCGTCCTTCGTAGGTGTCTTCTGGATATCCTGCATCACACGCGCCTCGTGGAAAAGGAACGAGTTGTGACCGCTGTTCTTCTCCATCTTCACCGCCACCATCTCGTTGTTCGATGTCTGAACTGCGGCGTACACCTCACCAAATCCACCCTTCCCCAGCAACTTGGTTAAGAGGAAGCGACCCTGGAAGATGGATTTGATCGCGGGGGCGACGTCAGACGGTGCCTCCGGCATTTTTGCGGAATTGGATAGACACAAAGGTGATACTGAAGGGAGAAGGCTGAAGGTGAGAAAATCTATTGCGAGAGAGGAGGAGAGAAAAAAAAAAGAAGGAGCTGTGCACTGTGTGGACCTTTCTGTTGAGATATAGGCTGCTGTCGTGGTAGTGCTGCTTCTGATTTTGATTATCACTTATCGCGTTCCGAGAAAGAAGGATAGCGAGGAAAAGAAAATAAACTGTGAATGCCTGTCTTCCCGTTTCCTTTTAAAATTCATATTATTAAACTGTTGGGTTTCAACGTTGCAATAACACAAGGTGTCAAGACGGAGGAAGCGTCGAGAGCAAAGGAAAAAAAAAAGGTTGACGCTTAGTGGCGTGGAGGGGAAAGGAGGGAAAGTAAAAAAGAGAACAGGAGGCAGGAAGGACGGCGATGAAAAAAACGATTTTTTGTTTCAAACATTTCTGCGACATCAGAATGGACAGTTTCTTTTTTCTTCTGCATGTTCACAAGACGTGTTGACCGGCTGGAAGGCATCTTTTCATTTGGTGTGAAACATTAAGCGCCAAAGAAACGCAACTGCAGCATCTGGCCCTGCCTTTAACGAGGACGGCGTGACATTGAATTGACGAAGAGCCTTTTTCATCCTCTGCTTTGAATTAGTAAGAAAAGCAAGTAGAGGCGCTTGCAGAAGAAAAGAAGACGAGTATAGGCTCGCTGAGAAAGCTCAAAACGACAAGAAAGGGAAAATAGAGTGAAAAGAATTCTTGCAATCTTATCTAAACAAAACTAACAACATGGAGATCAACAATTGACAGGCTTCGCAGCTTTTTTTTTTACATCTGCTGCAGCTTCTCGAGGAGGTCCATCACCCCTGGCCAGTAGGAGATGGGCAGGCGCCTCTCCAGCTTGAAGTAGTTACTAGGGTTCATGGAGGTGGCACGGAGTCCCTTGCACAGATTCTCTTTTTCCACGACCGGCGTCGTGCTCGTCGTCTCGGAGGAACGGGGTGTGCCTGGCAAAGAGTCGTCGTCCTCCATGTCCACCCAGGACTTGCCCTGCAGCTTCATCCTCAGCGCAAAACGAGGGTCCGTTTCCATCTTGTGCGCCAGCAGCTGCTTGTGGTGCGCCTGCGCGTACATCTTTGCCTTCTTCGTCAGAGGCTCGTACTCCTGCTGGACAAATAGACGCAGCTCGGCGAGCGACATTTCCTCGCGGACAATCAGCGCATTCCGGTGGTTCTGCAGGAGGGCGGAGAGCACGGTGGGGAACAGAATGTGCCGTGCGTGGGAGAAGTAAGTGATGGGAAGCACTCTGAGCATGTTCCCGAGCAGCGGCTTGTCCTTGCCCCAGCCCATCATATCCTGCAGTGGCGCGTCGTCAAAGCAGAGGTACCCGACCAACAAAATGCACTCGTGAAGGGTGGCGCGGAGGTGGTAGTGCTTCCCGCCCGGCTTCATCGACACGCCAGGATCAGCAGCGGCGGCGCCCGGAAACACCGGAAATGCGTTCAGAGTCACACCAAACTGCAGAGCCTCAGCAAAAGAGCCCAGCGCATCTTTGCCGCTTGCACCGCTCCCAGCGTCCTCGCTTGCAGGGGGAACAACCTCCATGTCATCCAGATGACCGTGAATGTACCGGAAAAGTCCGTTCAGCACGTGAAACAGCTCCGTGCGTGTGATCACCACGGCAGATGAGTCGGCCGATGGAGCGCGTGCAACGATGTTCTCGCCTTCCGCCGCCGTCGTCGCTCCGAGTGTCGCGGCGGTGTCCGCGGAGCCGTCGTGCAACAATTCCTGCAGCATTACGAGCTGCCACCGCGCCAGCGTGTTCAACGTGCGAAAGAGACAAAAGAGAATGGTCACGCGGTCGCACGACAGACTGGAGTCCTTCTCCTGCAGCGGCGACCCACCAGGGGTGAGCATGTTCTGTAGCAGCGTAAAGAGCGCGGTGGTGACTTGTTGGAACCACTGCTTCTTCACTTCGCCCTTGCGCCGCGTCAGCACACCCAGCTCGGTGTGGATGATGCACAAGGCGGTGTAGGCGAGCTGCAGGTCCTCCTCCTCATTACTCATCCGAAGTATTGCAACACAGATGCGATCCAATCCTGCCATGTCCATATCCTTCAGCAGCTGATCGCGGACGGGCACGAGCTTTGTGGCGGTCTGCGCGTCTGCACAGATGCGCTCGAGGCAGATGCCGAAGATCTCCATCCCGCAGCGCAGAGCCTCGGGGTTTTGTTCTCGACGCAGCGTGCGCGTCTCGTCGGCGAGGTACAGCACCAGCAACACCGCACAGCCGCTCTTGATGAAGTAGATCACGTTTTCCCGACCTTGCTTCTCATCCACGAACCACGACTGCAGAATGTCCGTTGTCTGCCGCAAGACGGTGAAGTCGCGTGCCTTCCGAGCCTCCACCAAAACCTTGATGAGGGTCTCAAACGCGTTGAAGTAGCGCACGTACTCGTAATCGACGTCCGTGAACGCGGCGGAGTTGATCTCGTTCAGCGGGTGCTTGCACTGCGTGACCGACGGCGTCGCGACGGCAGCGGACAGCCGGCTGAAGACCGCGCGCAGCCGGCTGCGATTCAGGTCCTTGGTCGACTGTGTTGACATCTTCTGATATTTGTCAGCGAACACTTTAGCATGTTGCGCGGAGGTCGTGGAGAGACGGGACAGGCGCGCCGCTTGCTGCTCCTCTTCCTGATTCGACAACTGCGGCATCATCTCCGCCAAGGTCGGTCGCGCCTCCAGTTCCTCGTCGCGACGCTTCTTCGCCTCCCGCAGCTTCAGCTCCTGTCGCTCAAGCTTCTGCTGGCGCTTCTCACGCTGCTCCTCTAGGAGCTGTGCGCTTTGCTGGAATTTCTCCTCCGTCTTGCGGCTCAGCGCTTCGGCCTCCGCTGTGGCGTCGACGTGGTGCTGCTGCACCTTCTTCTCCCACTCCTTCGCCTTCTGCTGCTTCAGCTCCTGCTCCTGTTTCTTCTCCTCATCGACACGGCGCAGGTTGTCCAGGCGGTGTTGCTCGCGCTGCTGCTGCTTCTCGAGCCGCTCCTGACTCAAGTTTCTGCGACGCTCTGCCGCTGCCCGCACCGCTTCCTGTCTCTCCTGCGCTTGCCTCTGCAACTTCTCGCGCATCTGTTCTTGATTGTGCTCCACTTCGCTCATCTTCTTTTCCAACATCAACACCTTGTTCTGCTGCTGCAGTTCCTTCGTCAGCAGGACCTCATCAACGTGGGAGTGGGCCCGCTGGGCCTTCTCGCGTGTCTGGCGACGGGCCTCCTCCGCTCTTCGCACGCCGCCCTCCATGCGGTCCTGCGTCTCGACACGCTGCTTCCGCTCCGCCTCCTCACGACGTGCCTTAGCACGGATGCTTCGCGCGTCCGACAGCTCCGATTTTTGCTTCATTTCCTGCATCAAATCAAAACGCCGCTCCTCCGCCTGCCGTTGGCGCTCCTCCCCGCGAAGCGCAGAGGCGTACCGCGATGCCTCGACGTCGCCCCTCGTCTGGTTCTCCGTCGAGCGGATCGGCGAGTGCTTCGGGGAGGGCCGCTTCGGCTTCAGCAAGGCCGCCTTGTAGTTTTGCGGCCCCTGACTTCCGGCGCCGGCAACCGAGCGCGCTGTCTCCTCCCCCGGCTCCGCGGAGTCGCGGTTCGACGGCGTGGAGAGAATATTCGCAGTTGGACTTCCTTGATTGCGCATGGACAAGGTCATGCGACGTGCCTCAATGCGTCGCTCCACCTTGACCGTCCTGAGAGCTCGTAGACAGTCCTCGGTGACGGCGATGAATTCGTCGACGTCGTATTGATTGCTGTGGTTCTCCAGGTTGTACAGAACTTCGTTCACCACCGTTTTCAGCTTGCCGATAAGCAGGAAGCTCGTGAAGGCGTTTCCTTCATTGCTGATCGTGCCATTCGGTGCGCCGCCGAGGTGTGAGCCTTTCGGTGTGCAAGGCGGCTGGTACTCGACATCGTCGCTCACGAAGTCGACACCCTGTGCCTCATCAGTCCTAACGCTTGGACTGCGGTTGGACATGGTTGCTGCTTGCATTTGCTTTTTATTTATATGGCCTTTGTTCCACGAACAAATAAGCGTGAATCAGTTAAACAATGTGTTTATGTATGGTGACTGGAGAATTTCGCGTAGAAAAATAAGAAGGCGTTAGTAGAGACAAGTGCTATCATTCCAAAGAGAGGACCGGAGAACAACGCTCCCAAATCTCTATGAGTGCGTAAAAAAACGAAATACAAAGAATAGCGTCTAGTTGAAACGTTCTCAAGTTCGGTTGAATGGTCGAAACAAATACGAGAGTGATGGGGGTTTCTAGCACAACAACAAGAGTAAAACGAGTAGCAGGGAGAGGAAAGCACGAATTGCGAACTCTAAGTCTAGACGACAACGCGCCAGTGACCCCCCCCCCCTTCTGGCACTGAGGCGTAACACGCTTCAAGAGCAACAAAAAAAAGCAGCTCTAAACACTCTTGTGCAGCGATATTCGGCTTGACCTCATACATGCAAAGAAATTGGACCCAATCCGCTTTCATCTGTCGTAACACAGATGCTTTCCTTTCCAATTTTTCAACAAAGGCTTCATTGCCTTCCCAGACGTACCATGGACGTCATATTGGACAACCAAAACAAAAAAAAAAGAAAGGGGTGTCTATTATTCACATCCCACTCGGAGGTCAAAGAAAAAAAAAATGCGCTGACACTTTTCTCTCGCATTCTGCATTGGGTGCTTTCAAGCACCCTTCATTCTGCAACATTTCACGTCGTAGATGTACTTGTCAATGACTTGAGTTGTTGTATCACTCGCCGTCAAGCTGCAGGCACTGCTTCGCGTCAATACCTGCAAGGAAAAACCGGCAACATCGTTTCGAAGACAATCCATGACAAAAGGAAATTACACCATGAACAACGGCATTCGCCCCAGGACGTTGAGAAGTGTATTGTATTCGACAATTTTTCCTCCTGAAAAAAGAATGAAGAAAAAAAAATAACACATGGGAAAAAGACTCGACTAAAAACACCAACTGAGAGGAAACGCACAGTTGAAAAGAGAACAGAGAAACAACGCATAACGATGAGTTCACATTTCCACTGACCGCAACAACGCCTGGACTTTAGGAAAATGCGAGAATGAAGAGAAAGAAAATTAACGTTGCTTTGTGGGAATCACCGATCGCCGTACTTTGCGCACAAGCACGCAGCCGTGGTGAGCAAGCTCGCTCGTGTGCCTAGGTGCTTGAAAGCCCACGAGAAGACAAAGAGAACGGCAGTGGAAACCTTATCAAAAGCACTTGTTGTGGACAATGCTTGGGCCGGACTCGTCGTACTCGCTCTTCTTCACCCACATCGACTGGAACGTCGTGAGCGACGACAGAATCGAGCCGCCAATCCACACACTGTACTTGCGCTCCGGCGGCGCAACCACCTTCGGCTTGATAGAGGACGGCGCAAGGTTCGCAATCTCCTTCGCAAGACGCTCAGGCAGGTTGCGGAACATCGTCGAGCCGCCAGACAGCACGATGTTGCTGTACAGTTCGCGGCGCACATCGATATCGCACTTGTTGATCGACTGGAACACCATCAGCGGGAAGCCAGGCGCCTCGTCCAGTCCGATCAAGTTCGGCTTGAACAGCACCTCCGGGCAGCGGAAGCGCTGGTTGCCCACCATCATCACGTTACCGTCCGGAAGCTCGAACGGCTCCTCGTTGGCCGCCTTTGCGCTCGTCGCCATCTCCTCGTCGTAGTCCAGCGCGACGTAGCACAGCTGCTCCTTCACGTTGCGCACGATCTCCTTCTCCGCGGTCGTCGTGAACGTCATGCCGGTCTCCATCATAATCTTCATCAGGTACTCCGTCAGGTCGCGGCCAGCCATATCCACGCGTCGCACAGCGTGCGGCAGCGAGTAACCCTCGTAAATCGGCACCGTGTGCGTCACGCCGTCACCGGCATCCAGCACGATACCGGTGGTGCGACCGGACGAGTACAGCGACAGCACAGCCTGGATGCCAATGTACAATGACGGCACGTTGAACGTTTCGAACATGATCTGCGTCATCTTCTCGCGGTTCTGCTTCGGGTTCATCGGGGCCTCCGTCAGCAGTACGTTGTGTTGCTCGGGGTTCACGCGCAGCTCGTTGTAGAAGGTGTGGTGCCAGATCTTCTCCATGTCGTCCCAGTTCGTCACAATACCGTGCTCAATCGGATACTTAAGTGACAGCACACCACGTTTCGACTGCGCCTCGTCGCCGACGTACACCGTCTTGTTAGCGCTGCCCATCATCGCCTGCATGTTCTTCGGGCGGCCCACGATGGAGGGGAACACGTGGCGTGGCGCATCATCGCCGGAGAAACCGGCCTTCACCATACCGGACCCGTTGTCGCACACGATAGAGTTCTGCTCTTCGTCAGCCATTTTCGTACAGACAGAAGAACTTTACAAGACAGTATTGAAAGTAAAACTAGGTTCTGGTTTTCGCGTCAGCTGAATTTGCCGTTTCTGCCATGATGTCGTTGAGCACGGGAGGAAAAAGGGAAGACGTCGTTGATGTACGAAAGATGCGACCTCAGAAGTTACACAAGCTTCGTGTGCTTTTAAAATAAAACATCAATACTACGTGCCGGAATGACACCACATATAAGTCGCGAAAACTATTCAGATGAAATTAGTACGCGCCGAAATGCTGAAAAGCGTTGTCATTGTATCATCAATGCATTTTTGCAGAAATGAACAAAACTAAATTTGAAGAAGGTAAATTAAACGCTGTTTAATGGGGATACCTCGCGCTTTTCTGTTGAACATTTTCGGTGAAAAGAATGGCCATAGTCGCATCCGCAGATACTTCCTTGAATTCTCGTCTCTTTTTTCTCTTTCAATCCAATAAAGATCAGCAATGTAGTTTAAATATCCTTGCAGCGGTTCCTTCTTACCAATATGCATTGGCATAAAAATAAATGGAAATATGGAACGCATAGCTGTATTTTACTTTGTTGACCACGCGATAATAATAATTCAGTCGATTAGAAAAAAAAAAGCATGTATGAGCTGTTCCTCACTGCTTTTCAAATAAATAGACGCATATACATATACGCGTGCTTCATTTGTTCAAATAAAAGAAAATCTACCTCCATTTTACCATTTTTACCTCAATCGGCAAGCAGCACAAAATGGAAACCGTCAACTAACGTAAATATATCTTTCGTTCTTCGGAAGGGGATAACTGCTCTTAAAAGCACTTGTTATGGACAATGCTTGGGCCGGACTCGTCGTACTCGCTCTTCTTCACCCACATCGACTGGAACGTCGTGAGCGACGACAGAATCGAGCCGCCAATCCACACACTGTACTTGCGCTCCGGCGGCGCAACCACCTTCGGCTTGATAGAGGACGGCGCAAGGTTCGCAATCTCCTTCGCAAGACGCTCAGGCAGGTTGCGGAACATCGTCGAGCCGCCAGACAGCACGATGTTGCTGTACAGTTCGCGGCGCACATCGATATCGCACTTGTTGATCGACTGGAACACCATCAGCGGGAAGCCAGGCGCCTCGTCCAGTCCGATCAAGTTCGGCTTGAACAGCACCTCCGGGCAGCGGAAGCGCTGGTTGCCCACCATCATCACGTTACCGTCCGGAAGCTCGAACGGCTCCTCGTTGGCCGCCTTTGCGCTCGTCGCCATCTCCTCGTCGTAGTCCAGCGCGACGTAGCACAGCTGCTCCTTCACGTTGCGCACGATCTCCTTCTCCGCGGTCGTCGTGAACGTCATGCCGGTCTCCATCATAATCTTCATCAGGTACTCCGTCAGGTCGCGGCCAGCCATATCCACGCGTCGCACAGCGTGCGGCAGCGAGTAACCCTCGTAAATCGGCACCGTGTGCGTCACGCCGTCACCGGCATCCAGCACGATACCGGTGGTGCGACCGGACGAGTACAGCGACAGCACAGCCTGGATGCCAATGTACAATGACGGCACGTTGAACGTTTCGAACATGATCTGCGTCATCTTCTCGCGGTTCTGCTTCGGGTTCATCGGGGCCTCCGTCAGCAGTACGTTGTGTTGCTCGGGGTTCACGCGCAGCTCGTTGTAGAAGGTGTGGTGCCAGATCTTCTCCATGTCGTCCCAGTTCGTCACAATACCGTGCTCAATCGGATACTTAAGTGACAGCACACCACGTTTCGACTGCGCCTCGTCGCCGACGTACACCGTCTTGTTAGCGCTGCCCATCATCGCCTGCATGTTCTTCGGGCGGCCCACGATGGAGGGGAACACGTGGCGTGGCGCATCATCGCCGGAGAAACCGGCCTTCACCATACCGGACCCGTTGTCGCACACGATAGAGTTCTGCTCTTCGTCAGCCATTTTCGTAGTTGAGAGCAGAAAAATGGGTAGTGCAAAAGAAAACAATGTATGAAAGTGTAATCTAAGTTGGAAGTGATAATAAAGCTTAAATCTAGAAAACGAAGAGAGGGAAAAGAGTCAAATAAGCACACAATAATTAAAAAAGCAGAACAGCGAAGAGAAGAGACCAGGAGGAGGTGGAGAGTTTGATGAGGCGTTTCTTATTGATCTGTTTTCAATAGACAGAGACACATAACGGTTTTTGTCAGTGCCGAGAGAAACGCATCGCACGCATAAAACAGAGAAGCGAATCTGAATTGTCACCTTCACCGTCATCATCATCAACAAAATTTGAGTAAAACAGAAGAAGGGGTTTTTCTTTCGCTATCAGCGTTGAGGATCTCCACATTTCGGAATCAAAAACAACGTTAGACTTTTTATTGTTCACTTTTCACAACAGTTGTCGAAAGAGTACGAATCAATTATTGACAGTACTGAAATGCCACCATTTTTTATAAACTGACCAAATTTGCGTCATTGTAGTTTTACTAAGGTCTGTGTGTAGAAACAGTATTCACTTACCGGGTACGACACCGTGAAAAACGATACCAACCGTTTTATTACGTGAAGGTAGTGACAGAGAATAAGAAGGATAGGAAGTCAAGAGTCGAAGTGATTGCACGGCATTTAGGGAAATACATAACTAGCGAGTACCTGGCATCAATGTCCCCATCAAGGCTACTCATTGTTTCTTCACTATCTAGTATCTGCCCCAATTCCGTTCTTCTTTATCTGTCGTGTTTGTCGTCGGAATTTTCTCAGAGAGTATCGCATTACGAAGTGCAAGGAAAAAAAAACTCATGGATCTTTTTAAGGATCCCATGGGTCCCTGTCGTGGGAGGGACCGGGGGTGGGCGGGTGGATTTCAGCGAAAAACCGGAGTTTCTCTCGATGCTGAAAACAACTGTGCCAGGCAAACCAGAATACGGAAGAACCAGGATTCAGGAGGTAATAGATAAGGAGAAGATAGTTTAGAGCATTACCCTAAATGACCGAGATCCGCCAATCTCTCCGCTGCCAATCACATTCAACTCATTTTTCCGTCCCTTCCATTCCCCTCGCAGGCTCACAAAAAAAAAAAAACAAGAGAGTAATACTGTTTGTTACTGGAATTCTAGTAGACAGCTCCGATTAAACAGACGTTGTTGAAGCAAAGATAACAGACTTCAGCAAAAAATCATTGCGTGCCACAAGAAAGTATCCTTGCCGTCCTCGAGGGATATCAAAAGTGCAGCCAATATTACTTCTTCAAGTGAAGGATGCGACACACAAATTTTGAGACAACTACCCATGCGTACGCATCTTTCGTCTCAGAAGATTTGTGACATATTTATTATTACCAAATTGAGAGTCGAACCGCTAACAGAGTAGAATGGCAGAGAAAGCCCAATGATTGTTGTGGTGGCACAGCACTGGTGTTCTCTACGTCAGCGTCTACAGGGCGAAAAGCCACGCATGCAGAATTGACCATTTTTAGTGATTTGCACAAGAGACGAAGTATCTGCGAGACCCACGTGCGGTTGACAAGGAGAAAAAGCTACGGATATCAAACAACAGAAGTAGCTTTAACAAAGCGTCACAACAGTTTTCAGAGAAAATGCAAAAGCGAAAACAAAATACACAACAGGCACTATTGCTGGAGAGGAGCCACTTCCGCCGCATCACTTTCGCGTCCTATTTTGGATCTATACCACTTAATAAAAAAACACCTCACTGAACAGATTGAAGTCTACCTTGCTGGTTGGCCAATTCGACATAATTTCGTTGAAGCGACAGCAAGGGAAAGAGATCGACGAAAAACATTTTCTGTTTTTGCAGCCCTGCCTCGAAAGCTTAAATCTGTAGTTTGCACTTTTCTGGTGCTGGCGAACGTGGTCCGGCAGTAAGTCATTTGACGTAAGTAATTGTTGCAGAGATCTGTAGAGTTGTTCGAGTTGTTCACGTTTTGCTTTCGACTGCAACAGAGTGAAGAACAGCTACTAAGCTGGAGCGAATCGTACAGCTATTTGACCGTGGTGCAACCGTCGGCGTTTCATTTCACAACAAATAATGTTTCATCACAGTGCCCTGATTGAAGCTTGTGAACTGAAAAGAATTGGTTCTTGTTTACACCTAAAAGTGGGAGATGCTAAATGAACACTTCAGCACTTGATACCCGCCTTCTGTTCCCCGATTGTGTCCAAGTCGCCATAGTTGCTATATTACTGTCGCTGTTGTACGTACATTGTCGTGATTATCCCTTCTAAAGTAACGGTGAAGGGTAGAACCAGATCGTGTACCTGCTCTTTTATGTTGCTATATTAAAACTGTGGTTGTCAAGTTCGGTTTTCTCTCGTTTGCGTTTTCTTTTTAGCATCGCGTGTAGTGCTTTTCAGCCTTCCAACCTCTGAAGCATATGCGATGAAGTACATGACTAAATTTGACTCACTGACTGCTGCATATAACAATACTTGTGTGAGTTGATTCTCTTTGCCCATAAGTAAATGCCACAAGAGCACCACAAAACTTTCAAACATTACAGCAGAACTGCAAAACTCTCTCGATTTCGTAGCAGCTCGTTGAATAAACGAAACAGGTCGTTCATAAAAAAAGTGTTGGTATTTCTACCCTTCTTCCAATGTAGGCATCGATCTAGGGAAACCTCACAAGCGGAACTGCAGATGTTACGTAATACAAACCATCAACTGGATTGTTGTCAGACGCCCACTTTTCTCCCAGCACTTAGCGAGCATTAGAATCCGGGCTTCCCTGGCGTGTGTGCAGCTGGAGGAGAATAATACAAAGGCAACCGTACAGCTGGTTTACGTCCCTCCTCTTCACAGAAAACTTACTAATAACCCCGAGATGATGAACTTGTTCGGTGCACTCACTGCAACCGACATGAGCCAGTGTTTTTAGAGTGAGGGAGGGGGGGAGAGGGGGGCACCTCGCACACGACAGGGTCCTCCGGGCTTATCTTCCGGAAGTGAGTGCGAAGGTGACACTGATCAACTTCCGCATTACGGAGCAAGGTCTGCAGGACCAACTGTTGCAGCGTGTGATGCTGACAGAGCGCCGCGAGGTGGAGGAAAAAAAGCAGGCATTGACACTGGAGGCCGCCGCGAACCAGGCGGGTCTGAAGGCCACGGAAGACCGCATTCTCGCCATTCTCTCCACGCAAGGCAACATCCTTGAGAGCGAGGAGGCTATTGAGGAGCTCGACAGCTCCAAGGAGCAGAGCGACCGCATTGCGAAGCGGCAGGAGGAGATTGAGGCGATGGAGCGCATTAGTGATCGCACGCGCAACATGTTCATACCTGCTGCTCACCTCGGAGCCATTCTGTTCTTCTGCGTCACGGAGCTCGCCAACATCGATCCTATGTACCAAAACTCGCTGCAGTCCTACATGTCCATCTTCCAGGAGGCGTTGATGAACAGCGCCAAGTCGAGCGAGGTGGAAGAGCGCACCGAGGCCATCAACACCACCTTCAAGCGCAGTCTGTACCAGCGAATTTGCCGGTCCCTCTTCGCGCGAGATCAGCTGCTCTTCTCCTTCACCATGTCGCTCAAGATCTACGATGTGGACCCGACGCTGTTGCGCTGGGTGCTGATGGGCGACTTCGAGGAGGAAGACCACCACGCCGTGCCGAACCCTTTCACGTGCCTGCCGGAGTTGATCTGGAAGCTGTTGCGCCGCGCGGCGACGCAGTTGGACGGCTTCGCTCACGTGACGGAGCTGGTGCAGCAGCATGCGATGTTCTTCATGGACTTCTACGAGTCTTCGAACCCGCTAGAGCTGGAGCTGCCCGGTGTGCTGAACGACATGTCGAGCATAGAGAAGCTGGTCGTGGTACGATGTCTGCGCATGGACAAAGTGGTGCCAGCCATCCGCAACTACGTCAGCGAGACGCTTGGCGAGTACTTTGTCGAGCCGCCGCTCTACGCGTTGGAGACGGTGGTGGACGAGCTCTCCTACGACCCTTCGGTGCCGATTATCCTCGTGCTCTCGCCCGGCGCAGACCCGAATGCGGAGCTGGACCGTGTCGCAGAGCTGCGAGGCATGGCGCAAAGCAAGCTGTTCAAGCTCTCGCGCGGCCAGGGCCAAGACGTGCCTGCCTGTGAGATGATGGATACCGGGACGAAGGAAGGACATTGGGTGTTTTTTTTTTTTGCAAAACTGCCACCTCTACTCCGACTTCATGCCGCGTCTGTCACGCAGGATCGAGGACTACAGCGATGCGGCGGCCAAGGAGCGGCTGCACCGCAACTACCGCCTGTGGCTGACGTCGCTACCGAGTGACGTTTTCCCGGTTGCCATTTTGCAGAACGTCGTGAAACTGGTGCAGGAACCACCGAAAGGACTCAAGAGAAACCTGTTGCAGTCCTACCTGTCCGAACCGGTCGCGGATGCGGAGCTTTCTCACCGAAGGCCTGGAAGACGACTGCTACGTCAACGGGCTCTACTTGGAGGCTGTGGACTGGGCTAGCGGCGTGCTTACCGAGAGCGAACCCAAGGAGGTCTTTATTTCTTTTCCTGTGATGAAGCTGGTGCCCCTGGGTGGCGGACAACGCGATGCAGTGTCCTGTGTACGCCTGCCCATGCTACAAGACAACCGACCGAAAAGGCGTGCTCTCCACGACGGGACACTCCACAAACTGCATCCTCACTGTGAATCTCCCACGGGATCCGCAACAATCGGAGAACCACTGGGTGCTGCGTGGCACTGCACTCTTTACCCAGTTGGAATACTGAGTCTTGTTTTTCTTTTCTACCTTAACGATGGGTATGATGGAAACCAAAATCACGATGTGCATTCTTTGTTTTCTTCTTCTTTATGATGCTCAACTGTTAACAAAATCAACTATTGTGAGTGTGCTTTTGTGGAGCTACATGCTAGCGAGGCGGCTGGAGAGGTCACCAGTATTGTCACGCGACTTGACGAAGATGCTTCTTTGTGAAGTGAAGAGTCTCTGCGCTCTATTTGTAAATCTACGTCACACTACCTGCATGAAGTAGTGAAGAGAAAGTGCGCAACTGAGTGTCCAGCTTTCTTCCCTGAGCTACCACGTCTTTTCGCATGACTGGAGAAACTGGGATGACCAGTGACTGCGGATTCTTCTTTTTATGTATCGCGCTACTCTCTTCTTGTGTTGTTTTACCGAGCTTTTTTTTCTGCCTGGGTGTCTCTAGTTTTCACTTTATCTGCCACTTTTGGAGGACATATGTATCTTTGTACCTCTCTCTTGCTCTTTCATTTCACGTCTTTTGTTTTCTTTAATTTCTTTGTGAAGGTGCTTGTGTATGCTATGACGATGTGCTTCTTTGGCGGCGTTTGTTTTGCAAGCCGGGAAGGGGCACTCATATCAAGTATGTGTTGTTCCTAGTATTTGGTGCCTCTTGGGCGAGGGACTTGGTCACACCGTTCTTTTCCAGCCTCTCTTTCTGGGGAGTGCGTATCAGCCGGTACTGCGCTTCATGTCTGTGCCGCGCCTCTCCGACTAAGGAGCAACGGCGTCTTTTGCTTCATCTACATTACGTTTTTAAATGACTCTCTTATTTTCCCCGTGTGACGTGTGGTCTGTCTAGCGTTGACCGATTTGCTTCTCTTTCTTAAACTGTCCCCAGGAGCGTCCGTTTTGCAAGTCTCGCTCCGTAAGTTTTCATCGACACAGAGGAAGCTGAGGTCACTTCCACGCACACGAGGGGATACCCGACTTCAGGCGTCCTCCCCCACAACCCGTACCAGTGCCTTCCCGGTTGTACGGAACACACAAACGAGAAAACTGATTCCTAGTGGCGTCCTATGCACGACAAATCACCATCTGCTGTCTCCACCTGAGTTGTGTTATGGAGTTAAGGGGAGAATAGAGAGGTGTGGGTGAGGGTTAGAACTCTCCATTTACGCACGAGGACGGTACAGAAAAAAGGATGTAGAAGAGAAGAATTTTGAAAGGCATTTTCGTTTTTTTGAGAAGCGCAACTAATTGCAGGGATAGTTTCCCTTTTCGACCCTTTCATAAGTTCCATGAAGAGCTGTTGCTCCGGAAAGGCTTTCCGAAGAGAAGGTCTCCTTTTCATTTTGACTCGAGCCGATGAGGGCAGACAGCGGATCCAAGCTAGACAGGTTAACTGAAAGGAAAAGAAAATAGTCTCCTGCCAGCTTTTTACGGGAGCCTACCTCGACTGCCTTTTTCAGAACCCTTTTAGCTGGTATCGAAGAAAAGAAGGAATGAAGAGAGTAAAACAGTAAAAGAGAATCGTTTTGGGTTTTCTGAGGTGCAAAATAATAATAATAGAAAATATATTTTTTAGCCTGTTGTGTTGTAGGCATCCTTTAGAGTCGTTCGTGACTTGTTTTCTCGTCCAAAAAGAAGAACAAAAGAGACAAGTTTATGGACCACTTTTCATGGAAAAGATGCGTGAAGGCGCTTCAGCCAAGTTTTCTTTGGAAGGAACCTATTCTACTGAGGGGAAAAATCTGAATTTTTGCGAGAGCTTTCTCTGTGCGAAGTGCAATGTCCTTGGGCGCCTTTGTCGATACGGCTCTCTCTTGATGGCGGCTAAGGCCGTCGTGCTATCAATATTTATATGAAGGTTCAACCCTGCGGGAATCCATCGCCGCAAGTATATTACCGCGAGAACCACGGTGTTCCCCTCCAGCGTGTTTATGTGATGCTGCTCTGCTGCGGACCATGCTTCTCCAACGCTCATGATTTCTTGGGACTCGTGCCGCATCAACACCGCTCCCCAACCAACTCCAGAGGCACCGGTGTAGAGGGTCATTGTCGGCATTCTCGTTGCCATGGCCGGCGCTACCGCTCGTGGGCGGTTCTTCTGAGCCAGGTCGTACCACTATTTAAGTTGTGCATGCGCCGTTGGGCGTGTGCAGGCCGGCTCTTTCACCAGGAGAGGTGTCCGGCTGAGCGGAGACCGCCTTTGTCTAATGGGCTTCAACGCCCAATAGAACTCTGCGGTGCGGATATGTAGGAATGACGAGCTGCGGAGGAGTTGTGCGTACAGTCGCTCCAAGTCACCGCCCGTCATGCTTGGCGTCGGACCATCAATCTTCTGGATCGTGTGATCTGCCGCTCCCACTTTGTGAGCTGCGTGGTTGAAATATACCCCCTATGAAGTCAGAGACTTCTCTTGCGTATCTCTCGTCGGTGTGAAGAAAGACTGGGAACTCTTGCGCGGTGGTTCACATCCTGTTGAAATGCTGATTTGGAGTGCTTGACGCGTGTCTGCGTAGCGTATGTTGTCGATCCAAACGTCGATTGAGGTCAGGGCTGGCCGTTCACGGTGATCCTTTTGCCCGCACACTTCGGACGGCCTGCCACGGTGGACGTGAGGATTTGCACGATTTCCGGTGAGGCCAAGTGTCCCATCGGAGGCCGCGTCAAGCACCACTGTGTACCGCTATTCGGATCTGGTAAGACGGAGCTTTCTTGATCTCTTTCTGGGAGCTCGACCTGAAAGAAACTGGCCCTCAGGTCGTGTACGCTACCCATCTCGGCGTTCACTGCGTCGAGGTGTATCGAAACGTGTAGAAGTGGCTCGTCTGGGCGGTAGCCTTGTGCGTCCGAATAGCCATTGCTCTTTTTCCTGACATCAGAAACTGATGTTTGCTGTTTGCTTAGGCTGTGTGCAAAGCAGTCTGCTCCAAGGAGGTGAAGGAGATCGTCCACACACTGGGGGATCTCTGGTCGCATGCGTGATCTAATTCTCTGAAAGTTGAGAGGCGCAACTTCCGACGCACCACGGATGTTGGAAGCCTTCTTCCGTGATGGCTGCTTTCTTCAGTCTCCATGCGCCTCGACCGAGATAGCCGCCGCGACCTGCCACGCTTTCTTTGTACTTCATTGCCGTGCAGAGATGATAGCATGTGTCTGCAAGCTGATAAAGCTGGTCTTGATTGCGTTGTGCCGTGGCTGGCCTTGCGGGGTTGCCGCTGTCTATTTTTTCATCAGTTGACAGGTTCCTTTCTTGTGTTTACCGGTGTCTTATCCAAAAGGGATATGCTATGCGTTTCGCGATGTTGAGAAGGTCGTCTCACTCTTCTCCATCTTCATAACTCGTAAGAGTCATGTTGCCTTTTGGGTTCCGATCACTTTCGCTAACGGCACGTGTTCGGTGATGTAGCGAATCGTGTTGTGCATTGTGGCTTTGCCATCGCCATGCTTTGCTAACAGCGGAATGTACTTTTGCTTGCGCTGATTCTGCGCGGCGTATGCTGTGAGGAAATTCAACGCGCCTCGTTTGATTGAGTGCGCTATCAGTGTTAGGTCTGCTTGTTTCAGCTCGCGGATGATCTGATGCGTATTCATTGTTGTGAACCGTGTCGATGCTGGGTTGTCTGCTTTCCGGCTGCTGAGAATTTGAGCGATTCGCCCCATATCGTTTGCGTCCTCGACCCCAACTAGAGCGTAAGCCTTGTAAGGGTTCCGTGATAGTGTCTTTCCCGCGTGAAGCGTTTTACAATTTACTGCGGGCTCACCAGCAAGAAAACCTCCGCCGTCAATCCTTGAATATCTCCCCAACGGCCTGTCGTTTTCCAGCTCTGCACGTATCTCTGGGTCCGTGTGAAATGCGACGAGGATGCTCTTAACGTTTCCGTCATGGTGTCTCCCGACCAAGGGGAGCTCACCGCTCCAACGATTCAAACGTTTTTTCTTCCCTAAGACAAGATACCTCGTTTGGTGCACCCGGTTCTACATGCATCACCTGCTGAAGCAACTCAGCGGGAGTGATGGCTTTGAGAGCGGAACGAGGCATGGCTGCATCTGTAAATTTCACGGTGGAACACTTTGAAAACAACAGCCACAATGTATTTTTTTGCAAGAGTGCCCTCGATTGAAAGAAGGGCGTGCTGAATGAACACAATGAAGCGCTGACCACGAACAGTGACGGTCTGCACCCCAACAATAATGGCCGTCGCCTTCAACCACTCTCACTGCATTCATACGGCGTCACCAGTGTCGCGAGTGCAACTATTCGGAGGCATTGTCTGAAAGCTTGCGCCTCAGAATAACCCACACCCTACAAATCATCACCTACCAACAGGTCAAACCTTTACATGAGAATTACATAAATTTATCTTTCTTGGTTTTACAACACACTGTAAATATCGATAGTTAAATACATGCAAAGAAAACAAACTATTCAACAGACTCTACGAAGTGGGTAGCCCGCCTTACGCTTCCCCGCTGGGTGGGCGGGGAGTTCAGGGTTGGGCGGGTGGGGAAAACTAAAAGATGGAAGAACTGCTGAATTCTAGCAGTTGGAAAAGAAGAAAAGAGAGGTAGGAGGAATAATTCTTCAGGCTAGGTCATTCTATTCGCAAGCTCCAGAGAACAAAAGAAAAACGTCGGGAGATGAATGGAAAGCCGTACGTTGTCTTCTTTTCTGGGAGCTTGTGAAAGGAATGATTGAATGTGAAGTATGGTTTGAATGGAATCTAAGTGAATATCATCTTCGGGGACTCCTTTCTACTTTCTTCTCCTTTTCCACGGACAGTCTTCGACTTCCGCCTTGTTCTCTCTTCTGTTCGTTTTCCCCTCCTTCTTTAACCTACTCTCACAAAGATGTCCATGACGACTATTGGCCCCAACGGCCCGGTGCAGATTTACACAAAGCCCGAGTGGAACGCTTGGGAGCAGGCCTTGCGCGAATTCACCCGTATGTATGGCCCTGCCAAAATCAGGATTACTGCCAAGGATGCGCGCGATGCCTACTCAACGTTCACGGTGCAGACGAGTCTGGACGCTTCTGGGAGCGTCATCTGTCACATGCTTAGCGGGACGCATTATTTTCAGTATCTGCGGACAGAAACCGGCGAGTTCATTCCACCGGAACGCGTGGAGTTCCTTCAGCTGGTCGCCACATATATGTCTTCGCATCTTGAGGTAACCGGGAGAATCTCTCAGCAGATGACCGAATGGTCGCAGGCGCTCGGTAATACGTTCGCCGAGTTACAACAGCAGGCGCAGTAGAGCCGCGTGCACGCTGGGCAACTGGCCCAGCGCGAGGTGAGTCTCGCATACCGTGAGGGCATGGCAGGGGCCGCGGCGGAGAAATACGTCTCTGATGCTCCTGTGGCTCATGCCTACAATCGTGTCACGGAGCTGGACGCGTTGAACCAGCAGACGGCATCGGTGCGCATACGAGATGCCGAGGTGCAGGCGCGGCTACAGACGGGCGAGGCTTACTTGTACACGGTCGACGCGGATCGCCGCGCAGAGATGATCAGGCAACAAGCACAGCTGAGGAGCGATGACGCGGGGCAGCGTGTACAAATGGCCGCTCTGGCTGCTTCTCTGGACGTAAATGACGCTTTGCGTCGTTCAGACCTGCGCGGACAGGAAGCCGAGTTGAGGGTGCAGTCGGCCGTTGCAGCTGCAGAGGCGCGCCAGGCGATCGCCGAGGCCAACTACGCCAGTCGGAGCGAGCGGCAACGTAACGAGATCCTGCAAGAGAAAATCACGTCGATGCAGGCGATGATCGAAAAGCTCCAGAAGGAGCGGGACCCCCTCGACGAGAAAGAGCGCGTCGCCTCCGCTGGTTGCACTCAGACAGAAGTTTCTCTGGCGCACCTCAAGGAAGCAAACGCCGGTTTAAAGGCCGAGAATGCCTTGCTGAAGCGAGCGGCTCTGCAGAAGGGACTCGCTAAGAGGTCTAAGCCCACTTCCCCTGTTCGATCATCTCCACACGACTCAGAGACGAGCAGTGTGTCAGAGGCTTCAGTGCCGGTGGGTATCGCCTTGAGGAGGCGGCTGAACAGAGAAAGCAACAAGCCGCTGACTCCACCTGTTTCGCCGCACCTACTAGAGAGGCAGCGGCCACAGCGGACACCTACTGCTCCGCCTATGGCTCCGCCGTCCCCTGCGCATTCGGTAACTTCCTGGTCTCCTCCGCGATTTGAACGGCCCGTGGAGGGCTCAGCTGTTTTTGGCGGAGTCCCCCCACCGACGGGTCGTTTCCGGTCTGCCTTTGGCCCCCAATCGGGAGTCCCACCAATGCGCGTGCCGCAGCCTGAGCCGCAGCGAGGGGTTTTCGCAGCGGCCTCACAGGCCCCTCGAGGCGGTTTTGCCCACGGTTTTTCCTCCGGCCCAAACTTTCCGCCCCCGCAACGGTGGTCCGATGGGGAGGACGTTGAGGCGGAACCAGGGCTGCAGTTTGCGCCGATCGGGCGCTGGCGTCACGGGATGACGAACGACCTTCCGGCCGGGAGTCGTCCCTCGACTGACATCATCGGGGAGGTGGGCACCTACCCGATGTTTATTCGCACGATAGCCGCGTCAACCCCAGGAGCGGCGATTGCCCAGCTGGTGGGCACCATCAAGCACGAGCCCAATTTCAATGTACGGAGGATGCAGAGAATCCTCACGTACTACGGGGATTTGATAAAAAATCCCTCCCGAGATAGTTTCGAGCTCCTAGGTTGGGAGCTCTACTATCTTTTCCGGGAAAACTTGGTCCTCTCAGGTAGGCCAAATAGTTTTAACTTGAATGAATATCGTCGTTTAGTGTACGGCGATCAGTTGCAGGACCCCGCGGCGGCTCTGGTTGAGCGGTGCACGACGGCGCCCACCACAACCCATTACCGCGCCATAGCGCAGCAGACCACTTTCCGCAAGCGGTCAAAACGGCAACGCGCCGGCTTCCAAGAAAGCGTGACTGGAACGCTCGCGGTACGGAGTCGAGATCCCTTGCCAGGGCGGCGAGCACAGGTTTCGGGCACCCGAGTGGTGCCAGAACAAAAACAGCGGCAAAGTGGCCGTTGCCGTGGCGAAGCGCCCGGCCTTCCTGTGCCTCGGGAGGAAGACGCGATAGATGGAGTGATACGTTTTCTTCAGTCCCAAAAGAGCGCAACGGTGGCATCTCCTCCTTTATGGAAGTCGGCGGTACGCGTCGTACCGAAGCCTCTGACGACACCGGAAAAGGCCAGCAGCAATCCTTTCGCAAAGGTGATGGATTTCCTGCACTCCTCCAGCGAGGAGGTGGCCAGAGTCTCGAGGCCGGCGCCAAGGATGCGCCAGCGCAAAGAAGCGCTCAAGAGCCCCAAGGAGGCTCGTCAACACTCGGTGGCCTTTCGTCCGCCTGCTCAGGTAGAGCAGGTCGAAAACCACGTCATGGCCGACGGGCTCGCCGCGGCTGTCACGGCAGAGCCCATCAACGTCGCCCAGTTCCGCGACCCGGAGCTACAGAAGCTGGCAGCTGCAGCCAATGC